AAAAAAAYAAAACACAATAAGGTGTGCTTTATTAAATTCAGGAATTTTGCAATTTAAAGTAATAAATATTCCCCTTTGCAACTGATTGGGTCTTTTATAACTATCTATAGAGCTTTAAAACTCCATCTATTCATCTCTATGTCTCACAGCGCCCTCTGGTGCTTGTCAGAAAGAAGAGATTTTCATACACAGGCATCCTCYAGCTATTTCTCATCACTTGAACGCAGTTTCTGTATCAAAAATAAGGTTAATGACAGAGAAATTATAATAGAATTTTCCTTTGAAGTATGAAACCAAAGTTAAAACTATGAGTTTTGTACTTTGTAAATATAACTCTAAACAGGATCAAATACAAACATTAAAAATTGTTAAATGTTTTGTATATCTGTGTCTATATTTAGCAGGGAGAAGGGGACATCAAGAATAAGATACATTTTATCTTATGCATCATCTAATTATAAAATGGCCCACAAATATGTTTTCTCTGGAAATCTTTGCAACAAATCAGGAGGAAGACTGGAATTGGGGGAAGGGACATAATGACTTGGAAGATAGTGTTCACTCAGAGAGTACGTAGCTTGTGAAAGCACTAATGGCCATACTACTTACACACGGAGTTTCACAACCCCAGTGGCACTGCTTTGTGTGAAGGAGTTACTKATTTGCCTGAGAATAAGCCTCCATGCTTGTGTTTGCCATGATACCATTTCTTCATTCTCTTCCTGGACCTTCATAGAGACTATTTACTTGGGTCATACCTGGAAAGAATAAAAACACTCCAGATSATACCGTGGCATAATCCTCTGGGTGGAACAATGTGTGAGAGCAAAGGGATTTGGAACAGCCACTTCTGCACACTGGATCCAAAAGTGCTCTCTGCGGCCAACCCACCTGCAATGTGTGCAGGCATTACAGTCCTTTGTTATAGAGGTGAGCCACAAAAGCACCAGAGGAGGCAACTAGGCTTTTACCAAATGCAGACAGAATAACCCCTCCTCCTCTTAAATATAACCCAGGAATTGGTCTTTCAAATACCAAAAGGAAGTGCACATCCCCCACGCTGTTCACACAAGGCAGTGTCCTAGCCTTGAACTCTGTCTGTGCCATTAGATCAACTTCTGTCCTTGACCACACACAGAAACACACACTCATACACACACACACATACACACACCCYCACACACACTTTCTTCAGAAGCCACRCTGGAATTAGGATTTAATTCTGACAAATACTATGTGGGAGCTCTGAAACAGAAGCTTCCAAGTTGAGAGAGCAGAATCGGCTCCTGGGAGAAGAGCTCCATTCACGCTGAGCCAAATMTGCTTGAGCAGTTATTTGTATACAAGTGCCATCCATGTTGATGGGAATTTGGAGTGAAGCTCTGAAAACGGCAGTTAGYCCAGTGAGCATAATCCTTTAAATCTCTGTGGTAATTCAGTTTCAGCAGTGGTTGGACCACCCAGGAGCTACTGGATGCATACAGCATTTCAAGGTCTGCCTACTTTCTCAAGAGTATTCTCTTTGAAACTTTAAGCTCTTCAGTTGGCACATGTCAAACTGATCACAAGACATGGGTCACTTCATAGTCTGGTGTCTAGAGATACAACAACAATTCAAAGGATAAATTACATATGAAAGGTGATTGGTTTGGATTGAACCATGACTTATGGTACAAGAGTAGCATCTGATTTTATAGCATTCTGTGGTCCTAAAACTGGTCATCACATCAACCTTTAAACTTAACTTCTGGGAGCATTTTGTGTGATGGAATATTCTTTTGCCAGGAAAATTTATGTTTATTAAATTAATGTGTTATGCCCACATGAACATATACAATGTTCCTTTATCGTATACTTAATCTAGTGCTCATTTGGATTATTTGTAGGAAAGTCGAGCCTCCAGAAAGGGGCAACTGGTTGAGAAGGAAAGCACAGATACCATTGACCATGCAACTCAGCTTGCAGAGCAGGCCCATGAGATGAGGGATAAAATCCAAGGTAAATATATTCTCTTCTAGTTCAACTTAATGGTAAAGAAACATACACTTTATTAATAACAATAAAAATAATGGCTACTTTCAGTGATTAYTCTGTGCCAGGAACTTAAGAGCAGTATAGATTTAAACTTACATAAGGTCTTCATTTCAAGTTTGTTTATCCAAGATTTCTGAGCACTTATCCCTATTTACTATCTGTTGATGTTCAAGCATAAATGTACAAAATCATTCCCTTTTCAGGCATTTCACAGAAGTGTAATGCCAGATTACCTTCCAGCAGAGGAAAGTGCACGCTATGTATCTCTAAAATGAAAGAGTTGAGTAGGAGTCACGCACTTTTTTTCTGTTATTTGCATACTAAAGAAAACTGCCTTTTGCATGGTAGTAAACCAATTCAAAATGCCTTGAGTTGTTTCTGTGATACTGTTTCCCATAGACCAGGCAGAGAACTTGCTCAGATCCCCAACCCAGAAGAAGAGAAAGGAAGGGCCATGTGAGATTTCTTTACCTTAAAGCATTGTGATAGGTTAACACTTCCTATTGGAGGTTTCCTTCATAGCTTACCTAGAGCCACCCTCAATTTTCTAACAGACACAGATTGCATTTGTTCTATCATAGAGACTTTCCTTGGGTAGAATCTGCTAAGATCCAGTATATGTGTATTTTCACAATTTTTATTATACTATATATTTAGGGTTGGATGAAACAACAAGTACATCTCAGGGCCCAATAACAGTAAAGAGACCCACAGTGGAAGATTCATATCTTTATGCTGAGGTATCAGGTGCAGGTTGCAGGTAAAAGGATATCATGTAAAGCCAAGATGAATCATTTGCTACATTTCTTTTGGTGCCTATAATACACAATAAAAACAAAGGCATGCACTTCAACTCCCCACTCCCACCCACATGAGCTCATGTTTTTGAATGTCCTGACAGAATATTCTCATCTCATAACATTTTTAAGTTACTATTATTTGTTAAAAAAAAGTATGCTTAAACCTAGAAAATAAGATGACTTCAACCAATTAAGAAATAAATGCCCCTTTAGGCAGCAAATAAAGCCAGGACCTTAGTAAGCCATTCAGAGAAAATAATTCACCATTGCTATTGAAACCCAAATTTTGATTCTAAGGTGTTTCATTTGAAAAGAATCTGAACCTTCTTATTTGACCCCTTAGGCATGAGAAAGGATGAAAAATACAAAAGAAATGTAAATGGGAAACAGACACTTTTATCATTTTTAATCTCTTTAAAATAATGCATGAATGGTCTCCAAAGACCAAAGGCAAAAATGTTATTGTCTATATTTCATTTCTCTAATCCAAACCAGACATAACTAAAACAAAATAGGCCAAAATTGTGAACATAATATTTTCATCAAAATGCTAAAGGGCCCAGCATTGCAAGTGCTAGAAATGAATGTGAGGAAAGTCTGTATTTAGTTTTTTTCAGAGCTTAGTATTTTAGACCTTACTTAAAAAGTGAATGTTTAATCCCTTCATAGTGTTTTAACATATCTTGATTTCCCTCTAACTCTCTCAGTAGTATTTACAGCATTAAAAACTRCACCCCTCAACTTATCTGCGTTCCTTCAGAATTCAGGGATGCCTTACAACACCCATAGTTTGTCACTGTTCATTCTCTACACCTCTAAAATAGCTGCTGGTGACCTTCCAGCTATTATCCATATAAAATACAGCCCCTTATCCTGGTGTGATTTGTGTGACACCAGTGTTTGTTTACCTGTCTTATCTGATCAACCACATAGATCATAGTAAACCCTATAACACACAATTTCATTTTTGCCAGGAAAATGAAATGCTTCCTCCCAGAGCTGCCATATGACAAGGCAGCAATTGCATATCTTTCTTCTGATCATACATAGTTGGAAATGAAGGAGTCAGAGAATTGTACCAGCTCTGCATGCAGCTCTGAGCACTATTGTTTAAACAAGTCACCTGGTCCCTCTGAGCCTCAGCTCTTTGGTTCTTAAATTTTCCACCCTGCTTACAGAAGTGGGGCAAAAAGATCCAGAGTCAAAATAGCCCAAAATGTCACTGCAGACAGCAAATACAAAAAAAAAACTAATGAGCAAAAACTCACATCATACTATAACAAATCCATATTTTATATCTAGTCTGAAAGGCTCATTAAATGATTATCCAAATGGTCTCATTTTGGTTTAGAGTTTGTTAAATCCTTAGCTGAAGTGCAAAATACCTCCAGTACATCCCACATATGGCAGGAGATACCTCCAAACATCTGCTCCAAGCTAAATATTCTATAAAGGTTGATCAAAGACCCCAGATTTCTGGACTTCAAATATTAACATTCTCTAATTGCCGTGGAAACCAGATGAGAGGATGAAGGCCCCATGGGCATTGCAGCAGTGTGTTCCCATTCTGAAGATACCACATGGGAGGCAGAGCAGGGTGGTTTCCTTGGGTTTTACTCCTCCTTGGAACTTGTGATGAGCTGAAGCCCACAGTTCATGGCACAACACTGGCTGCTTCTATGAATGAGCCTCTTTCTGCTTCAGGATCAGCCCTGTGCCTGGCCACCATCCCTCACTCCTCTGCACTTTCAGTGGCATCTTCCCTCCCTGATGCCTGCTTCACCATGTTCTTCCTTTCAGAGATCAACAATAAGATGCTCTACTATGGGGAGGAGCAGGATCTGAACCCAGAGGAAGTCTCTGAGAAGCTGGTGCTGGCCCAGAAGATGCTTGAGGAGATTCGCCGCCGCCCATCGTTCCTCACCCATCGAGAGCTCGTGGATGAGGAGGCCGACGAGGCCCATGAACGTAGGTATCTTTGTCTCCTGGCTGACCCAGCACATACCTGCTTCTGTCATGGGTTCAGGAGAGGACACACAGTAATTGTGTGCAATAATTGATTAAGCAACCAGTTTTTGATATTCAGAGCTATGTAGGATTTATCTGTGGCTTCAGGGAATCATTCAAGGCAGCTTGGCTATATGACCAAGATTTTTAGGTCCAGGCCCCACTTCAAGTCCTTGAGAAACAGCTGAAGTTCCTCAAGTAATCTATAGAATTGTTACTTTTATGAAGAAGTAAGGACTTAGAAGAAGGAAGGCTCAGGGGCAGCAATTCCCAGAACGATAGTAAGAGAAATTTTACCCAAAAGACAAATGCTGCAAACCCAGCAACATTCATGTTCCGAGGGCCCTCAAAGGTATTTCATCACTTTTAACCTCCTTTAACTTTTAAGTAGAAATTCAACACTTCCGTTAATGATGAATGTAGACACCAAACCAGAGTAGTACTGTTGAACCTATGACTTGATCAATTACCAATTACTATCTACCAATCCACCTCAAACATATTCAATGGCACAAAAAGGGTTAAAAATTAAGCACTAGTCATTTTCCTACAATTATTACTGCCAGCTTCTGCTAGAAATTATTGTGGATGCAATAGAAGAATAGTATTATTGGCATAAAAGCTTATTATGGTAACAAGTATGTAAAGTCTTAGCAGAAATGAGAACCAGAGAAGAATCCCAGTCCCCATTCTGAGTTAGGATGAGACCCACAGTCAGAAAGCTAGAGCTCTAAAGTCACAGCCATATGTTCCCAAGCTCTTTGCCTATTTGGGAATTGAACAAGACTGTCCTGGGGGAATGACGCCAGTCACCTCTCCCACTTTGACTCTTTTTACTTCATGAATGCATTTTCAACCACTTTCTTTACTCATCCATGAACTTGCATTTTTCTCCTCACAGTAATGAAAGAAAATGTAAACCTCAGCAATACAGACCAATATTCCCTGAAGAAAAATAGAATTGAGGCACATAGTCAACACATGTGCCCTTGAGCAAGAATAAAGGACACACACAAAGTTTAAGAATATCATATCATTGCCAATTAATCTTTATTCTATCCAAAATCATGGTTTGGGTTTGACTTAAGGAGCTAACTAAAAACAGTTTCCTGGAGAGATTACAGAAAATGAATAGTTATGAATATCATAACCTTTTACCTTAGCACTGCCAAGATAATGTTGGTTACTTTAAATAGTAAAAACTATAGTATATCCAAGTCCCCATTATAGGATAAAATTATTACTAATGTGAGTAACAGTATGTGGAGCATAATGACATGGTTTCCACATAAAACAACCTCTATGGTAAAAATAATCAAAGTCTTCTTTTACTAACTGTTGTCCAGGGACTCCCAAATCCAAAAGAAAAAAAAAAGAAATAGAATTTGTACTACAAATGTAATATGTAAGGCTATTTTTGTGAACGTCCACTGCAATCTCAATCACTGAAGAAGCCACAGCCAGAAAATTTTGCAACTTTATTAAATTCTGGAAGAATGGGAGGAAACAGGAGAAGATCAGACTGAGTTTCTCTCTCCATTTCTTCCCAGTGCTGACCCAGGCTGAGAACTGGCAAAGACTGCATAATGACACTCGCTCTCTGTTTCCTGTCGTCCTGGAGCAGCTGGATGACTACAATGCTAAGTTATCAGACCTCCAGGAATCACTTGACCAGGCCCTTGACAATGTCAGGGATGCTGAAGACATGAACAGGGCCATGGCAGCCAAGCAGCGAGACCACAAGGTACAGTGGACAGTAAATGTAAATGTGTGTCAGGCATAGGCAACACGAAGTGACACCAAGAAGGGACAGGTGATGTAAATTTATTAAAACTTGATACATCTAAATATTCATATTTTTAAATATGGGCACATTTTTGCTACTATAAATTAGTAGTATGTGTACCTAAAATCAATGAAGCTATGATTATTGCTTTGTTCTTGCTTTGCTAAGAATGTGGTTGTTCAGGTGGTTGTGTCCATGGGTGTGGATGTGTTGTTCTTGTGAGTGGGTAAGCAGTGCACTATTCTGATGTATAAATTTTAATATTGAGAGCAATACTATGCGTGATTTTTGGAAAGGCACATTACACATGCTATGTTATTTTTGGAAATACATGACAAGCAAATCTCAGAGCCTGGCTGGTCAGCARCTGCAGAGATGGGGACACTAATTCAAGCCAAGGCCATGCAAATACAGAGGTGAGGAAAGACCCAGACACTGCCATAGGTTGCAGAGATGACCATCCCTTGGGATACCCACAATGAGAGGGCTGAGAACTGGTGGTCCCATGTCCACTCCAACACATACTTACAACCACCACCATAGAAAAAGGTCATCTTCTAATAGGGATGACACATGCAAATATGTTCACATTTGTGACTGTTAGCCTGAGAAATCAATGTTAACAAATAGAAAACAGCTATGAGCAAACTCATCAGTTCAGTAATATAATTTTACTGCTGATAAATCAACTTAAACTAAATTCTCTTCCCTGATATTCAGTCATCTCTTCCCCTTGGTAAGTTGCTACAAAATTTCCCTAATAAAAGTAAGTTATACTCACCACCATTGTGTTCTAATAGGAGTGAACTCTTATCCAATATTTTTTAGAATAATAATGGTCAGCATAACATTTGTTAAGTGAATACATGATTATTTTGCACAATAAAAGTATTATGTATAACACAAAAAAAATTGTTTTAAGGCAGTTAAGTTTCTAAGTTTCTCTCTTTCCCCTTCCACATCCATGCAAGAACAGAATCCTCCCAATTTTATTATCTGAAAAAGAAAATGGGTTTTTTTGTTTTTGTTTTTGGTACTGGGGATTAAACCCAGGGGCACTTTACCTGAGTCATACTCCCAGTCCTTTTATTTATTTATTTATTTTTAAATTTCAAGGCAGGGTCTCACTAAATTGCTGAAGGCCTTGATGAGTTGCTGAGGCTCATCTCAAACTTGTGATTCTTCTGCCTTAGCTTCCCCAGTCGCTAGGATTACAGGCAAGTGCCACCACAACTGGTCTTATCTCTTCTCGGTTTTCCATCCCTCTACAGTTTCTCTGGCCTTCATCACTCCTCAACCAAAAGTTTCATCCTCCCCTTGATTCTTCCTTCTTCCAAGCAATCTCCCTAACCTGCCAGAGTGGCCTGTCTAAACCACAGGTCTGAAATTGACTCTCATTTTCTCCTTGCCACAGTTAACAGTGCTTTCAATAATAAAGCTTTTGAATCATTTGGTGGATTATAAAATAAGTTGGATTATTGTAACTGTCATTTTTAAAAAGAACAAAAAAAGAAAAGAAAGTGAAATAGAATAGAAAATATCAAAGCACAACATACATAGTATGGTTTCACCACACTTTTGCTTATGTGTTGGCTTGTAACACACTTTTTAGTCTGCGTCATGGCTAACAACATTTGAAAGTCATTTTTCTACAGGACAGTCTATGATCTTTCATGCAGCATGCAAGACTCTTTTTGATCTGCCCCTCCCAGACTCTTCAGTCTCTTGGTGCTTCTGCCTCACCCATACTCATTCAGGCAGAAGCAAACTACTCATAATCCCTCCTGCCTGGAATGGAAATCTTTGTTGGGGGTAGGCGGGATAGCAATTGAACCCAGGGCCTAGCAGAACAAGTGCTGTACCACTGATGTAGAACCCCAGGCATATTTATTTTCATTTTTTATTTTTGAGACAGGATCTCACTAACTTGCTCAAACTGGCTTTGAACTTGCTATTCTCTTGCCTCAGTTTCCCAAGTCACTCAGATTACAGGTGTGCATGCACCACTACACCTAACTGGAGACCTCTTTTTCTTTTCTCTTCACCTGGGCAACCCACTCATTTTTTCATTATTCCCTCAGCATCACCTACTCCAGCAGGCCTAGCCCATAATCCAATCTCATAATGACTTGTGTGCAGTTCTGTTTCTGAATAGTGATTGTCTGCCGATGGATCTCTGTCTTTCCCATTAAATTGGGGGAAGATACCGGGTAATATATGTTCTTCATCTTTGAATCCTAAAGCATCTATCACAATGCCTAGGACAAAGAACAGTAAATCAACATTTGTTGCTTTAATGAAAAATATCATATAAGGATTTTCCATTTGTAAAACACTGTCACCTTGATAAATTGTGCCCAAATTTATTAGAAATCAATTTTCAGCTCTAAGTAATAAGTGATTCTGGAGAGATTTAAACCCATCTCTCTAACCTTTAGGACAGTACCATCCTATTCCAAAGAAAGGATTCAGAGTATTTACATAAAACAAGAAAAACACTATAAACTCATSCAACAATTCCAGGGGTTCACTGATGAAGACCCCAAACCATGTTCAATACTAAGAGCCCTAAAGGAAGAAGTGGCCCTGCCAACCCAGGCCAGTCCCTATTGAACAAGWGTAAGCAATGGCCCATAGGAAACCCCAGACATACTAGAACTGTCTCTTAGCCACAGGAAGTATGGTTTTATTAGAAGAAAAAAAGGATACCTATTATTACTAGTACTGGTAAACTATATGTGGTTCACACTTCAGATTGCAAGTCATTAATCTCAGCAAAGTATTTTGTCTTCTATATAGAATGCTAAAGAACACATGCAAGTATACTGTGTGTTAATTGTTCAGTCTTCTATGTATTTACTTTTAGGACTGGATTATGTTGTCAAAAGTCCTTTTTAACACAGAATAGTAATACACATGATCTGAGTCCCAAAATACATACATAACACAGAACAACTGATTTGCTAGTGGTTGGTAAATAACAGTGTGTGCATCTGGGCATGCTGGACTTTGTAATTGTAATAAGCAATGAGTGGATAGTGTTACCCATATGAAAAGGCTTCAGTTCTAAAAGTAAATAGATGCCAAAATAGCTTTTAATTAAACTTTTCTTATGCACAATTAAAGGAAAAAAACTACGTATGTGGATACCAGGAATTTGGCATTTTCGTGATTCAAACAGATGGTAGTCCTCATTTTAGCTTTGCTAAACAAACTCTTCTACTGGTACAAATGAACAGCCTGAGCAGGATTTCAGGAAGAGAACAGGAATGCAAGGAGGCATTTCCATGCCCTTCTCAGTCTTGGTCCTCCTTCTTTGCAGTTGGCATTAGCCAATGCTCCATCCAATTTGCCCTCATCCCTTCTCCTTTGTAACTTTACCCCAACCCACCACTTCAGTCTTTGAAAGCAATTTATGGTCCATATCTGTACTCATAACTGAGCCCATAGCAAACTTACATGTTTGAGGAATAGCCACCTACATGGCTATGCCCTGCTATTACCCACTAAAAACTCTATTGACAATTTTTTTTTGTTTGTATCAGGGATTAAACCCAGGGACACATAACCACTGAGTCACTTCACCAGCCCTTTTAATTTTTTTTTTTTTAATTTTGAACCAGGATCTTGCATCTTGCTAAGTTGCTCAGGGCCTCACTTCGTTGCTGAGGACAGCCTCAAACTTGTGATACTCCTGCCTCAGCCTTCCCATTCACTGGGATCATATAAGTGCATCACCAGGCCTGGCTCTGTCAACACTTTTTCTTCCACTTCCTCATTTCTAATTTTTTCATTCCTGTTGAGGCATCTTTTCTCCCATTCAAGTCCCCAGGCTCTAGGTCAGCTCCCCTCAATAATTCTATGAGCAGTGATCACTCCAGCCCACTACACCTCACTTGTGGACCTTTTGAGTTGCCTCCTGCCTGCTGTCATCTTCAGGTTACTGCTAGATCACATTTCAAGGCATGTCTACAATTGTATGAAAGCTATGTGATAAAACTCCATCAATACCCTTCAATTGCTTCCTACCTAAGAATGGTAAATCATCCAGCCAGCCATGATCTGAGCCCACCTATGTTCCAGGAGTGTTTCTTGACTCCCCCACAATGCCGCTGGAGATTGCATGGGTTTTCTTCTTGTTTCTTTTGCTAATGTTGTGTCCTTTGCTCACATCATTCCATTTGGAAAGATTCCAATGTGAAAGTTGTGCTGTGGGCTCAGTTATGAGTACAAGTATGGACCACAGATTGCTTTCAAGGACTGAAGTGGTGGGTTGGGGTAAAGTCACAGAGTGGGGGGATGAAGGCAAAAAGGGTGGAACTTTGGCTAATGCCAGCTACAAAGGCTAAAGAGGAAGGAGGGCCAAGACTGAATGGAAATGATCTAAACCTAGTCTTTAAAAGGCTCCCTCTGCAGAGTGCCTCACCTTCTTACTAGAGTCCAACAGTTCTCACATTGTTTCAGTGAAACTCCTTTTGAGAAATTAGTGAAAACTAGGCAACACACACACACACACACACAATCAAAAAGATGTTCACTTGTTTATCTGTATCAGTTCCTCCTAGGTTAAGCACTTGACCACCAGTAGGAGTCCCTCCCTCCTCTACATTGATACAAGCTTAGGATGTACCTCTAGAATGATCACCAAGCTTCATTGCACTTGGCATATAGCTTCTATGTTTGTGTCGTGTGTGTGTGTGTGTGTGTGTGTGTGTTTATGTTAGTCTAACCTTACTAGATTGTAAGCATCCAAAGGGCATCCTCCTACTATGCACAAATTACATCTTCCTGTCACTTAGCAGGATGTCTTGCATTTGTTACATCTGTTGATGAACAAATAAATGAAAAGGGCACGGAGCAATCAGATTACAGAAGTGATTTGTTTTAATTTCACATTGTACCATTAAACATGTGGCGTGAGTCAGAAAAGAATGACATCAAAGTGTCAGACTTTATACAAAACCAAAAACACCCATATGGATTCAACACTGATGTGTGCAAATAGTAACCACACAACAAATAATTACATTATTTATTTTGTCATTCTACTCTTAACCCAAAAGAATGATAAAGTTATTTATCAGACGAGTATAAGATGAGGATCAGATTCTGAAGTAGGTAAAATATTCTTTAAAAGGCACTGCTCAGGAATTCTCATAAACCAAAGCTCTACTTTACTAGGACTATKTCTAAATACTTTTAGATCAGGATTTTTTTTCTTTCCTTTTGCAAATATGAAATGAATACTTATGTATGCTGGATAGCATTAGTTGTGTTATTTTCATAATTATTAGTCTTCAAAACTTTCTTTTGTTTGGGTTGACCATCTTTCTATGGGAAGAAAATCTTTATTAATTAAAAGCTAATTTGATTTCTGTCTAATGCTATATACAGTAAGTAGGAAAAGTCTTTAGCTTAAAGCATATCATTTTCCAACTACTACATATAAGCTCACCATGCAGTGTTGGTAGCGCACTGCTTTGAAGTTCAGCTCTGATTTCAGTATTAGGAGTGTTCTCTTATAAACACTCCTTACAGAAGGTGTCGCAGCTCAGAACCAATAAAAGGAAAACAGCCCTGTGAAAGCTAATTAATGTCAATTTTTTTCTCCTCCCTTCCTTTACACACACATACTTTACACTATTGATTTAATGAGAACCATATAATGACCTCTCCTTATAGAGGTAATAACTGGCCCCAGACAATCACACTGAATTAAGCGTGATGGATATTGAGGGGACATTGTTTTTAATGTCCTTGCATTAAGAGGAAGTTCAAATATGATTCTTTTCTGTTTCTGTACCTCCATTTACCCCTGCAGCAATATATCTGGAGAAGATGGACCCCATTCTTTCTTTTCATTAAATTGAGAAAGATTGTAGGGAGTAAGAAAGGACACTAAGACAAACTTAGAAAGTTTTAAAGTATTTCCTTCTATGTCTAGCTCTATAATCACTTCTATGATAGCCTAGGGTATACCATCACATATATTTCAAATCTAATTTAAATTACTATTTCTAAAGTAACTTCAACTCACATTTTCCTCAAATTGTAAAATGAATCTTTTACTTTTCCATCTTAAAGATTATTTTGTGTTGCTTTCAGACTCTGAATTCATTTAAAGCTCCATATTTCTTCAGAATCACAACCTGCCTGCCTCTAAAACCCAAACGTGAAGGTAGAAATTAGACATTTATCAGAAAATGTATTAGCAATTTCCCTTCTCAAAAAATGTAAGCATCAAATACAAAGAACTCAGAGAGGCATGAAGATCACAATTTTAAGCTTTGCTAATAGGGTTATTTTAATTTTTTTAAAGGATTTTAGGATCATATTATATATACTTTGTTTCTGTCCAAATGGCCTATTTCTACTATTTCTACCAGGCCCAAAGTTGGCACATTGTATGTTTTTTAAATAAAATCATTTTCCAGTTATATAAGCAAATATAGAGCCTATGCTCCATCCTGTACCTATCATCCCACTTTATATAATGGAGAAAAGAGTCAAATGTCAACTCTTTGGAGATGATGATGTTATAAGTGATAATTATAACCAATCATAATTACAACTAATAACTTCAATCTCCCAAAGTGCATACTTTGTTATCCCCCTTACAAATGAGACAAATTAGCATCAGATAAGTAACATATTCCCCAAAGGTGCACAGCAATTATGTTATGGGGTTAGTACATAAACCCAGTTAACATTAACTGCTCTCCAGGATGCTTTCTCTAAAGACACATTCTCTACCTCTCTTCCTTCTTTTTCCTTACTCCAGAGACAATATGAGAGAGTGAGAGAACAGATGGAAGTGGTGAACACTTCTCTGGGCGCATCTGCAGATTCTCTGATGACACCTCGTCTGACTCTTGTGGAACTTGACGATATAATAAAGGTAAGAACATGAGCAATATGTTCAGAGTTATTGTTAATTAATTAATTTATTTATTTGTTCTAATTTGCTATACATGACAGCAGAATGCATTTCAATTCATAGTAAAAAAAAATGGGGCACAATTTTTCATGTCTCTGGTTATACACAAAATAGAGTCATACCATTCGTATCTTCATACATGTACTTAAGGTAATGATGCCCATCTCATTCCAAAGTCTTTCCTGCCCCCGTTCCTGCTCCCTTCTGTTTCCCTCCTCTTTGCCCTAACCAAAGTTCCTCCATTCCTCCCATGATCCCCTCCAACCCCGCCATTAAGGATCAGCATTCACCTATCAGAGAAAACAATCGGCCTTTGGTTTTTTGGGATTGGCTTACTTCACTTAGCATGATATTCTACAACTCCATCCATTTAATTGCAAATGCCATGATTTCATTCTCTTTTAATGTTGATTAATATTCCATTGTGTATATATATATATATAACACAATTTCTTATTCATTCATCTATTTAAGGGCATCTAGTTTGATTCCACAGTTTAGCAATTGTGAATTGTGCTGCTATAAACATTGATGTAGCTGCATCACTGTAGTGTGTGCTATTTTTAAGTCCTTTGGGTATAAACTGAGGAGTGGGATAGCTGAGTCAAATGGCAGTTCCATTCCAAGTTTTCCAAGGAATCTCCATACTGCTTTCCATATTGGTTGCACTGATTTGCAGTTCCACCGACAATGTATGAGAGTGCCTTTTCCCCACATTCTCACCAAAACTTATTGTTGTTTGCATTCTTAATAGCTGCCATTCTAACTGGACTGAGATGAAATCTTAGAGTAGTTTTTTTTTTTTTTGTAATACCTTTATTTTATTTATTTATTTTTATGTGGTGCTGAGGATTGAACCCAGCACCTTGCACATTCTAGGCCAGTGCTCTACTGCTGAGCCACAACCCCAGCTCCTAGAGTAGTTTTGATTTGCATTCTCCAATTGCTAGAGATGTTGAACATTTTTTCATATATGTATTGAGTAATTGTATATCTTCTTCTGTGAAGTGTCTGTTCAGTTCCTTGGCTCATTAATTGATTATTTTGGTGTTAAGTTTTTTATATATCCTGGAGATTAGTGCTCTATCTGATGTGTATGTGGTAAAAATTTGCTTCCATTCTGTAGGCTCTCTATTCACCTAACTTATTATTTCTTTTGCTGAGAAGAAGCTTTTCTGTTTGAATCCGTGTCACTATTGATTCTTGATTTTATTTTTTATGCTTTAAGAGTCTTATTAAGGAAGTAGGGGCCTAATCTGACATGATGAAGATTTGGGCCTACTTTTCTTCTATTAGGCGCAGGAGTTCCACTGGGTTGTTTTTGTAGCAGGTTGCAACAGGGACTCAGAATCACAAAAGAATAACCAAATTATATTCAAATCTATCAAGTTAGCAGGCATTATAAAAATAAGATCAGGTGATAATGTTTTCAAGTTTCTTATGCTATACTGTTACTACTGGCTAGAGATGACTACTTTAAATTTAAATTACTTAAGATTAAGTAAAATTAGAAATTTGATTCTTCAGTTGATTTAGCCACATTTCAAGTCCTAAGTAGTGGCTAGTATATTTGATAGCACAGATATCATTGCAGAGAGGCTATTAAAGTGCTGATCTAGATTCATTCTATTCACTCTTTACTCAAAAAGTTGTACATTAATAAAACTAGCAATAAAAGCCACACTCTCTAAAAGTAGAAATTTTCCAATAAAATGCTGCAAAACAAACTATCATGAAATTACTCTAGTTCATTATTATTGTCATTGAAAGGATATCAGATTAAAATCATCTGATCTAGTTTCATTCTTTTGACTATTTAAGCACCAAGTTCCCTCTCTTCTTCTCTGTCCCAACTCCCCTCACTATCCTTGGTGACATCAAAATCCCTATGTATGAGCCCACCAACTCTGACCTCCAGTTCCTTGAGCTTCTTTCCAACAAGCTTTTCCTCCAGTCTACATCTGCTATTCCTCCTGTGACCACACCTAGATCTTGTTATCAATTCCTCCTCCCAAATCTCAGGTTCAAGCCCCTATCTCCCTAAATACCATCTCTTATCTCACTTACCCTGGAATACTCAAGCCAATAATTCTTTGACAATAAAACCACCTCACCTCATATACCTTACCCCTTTCATTTCCTTGAGCAGCTAAAATTACAATATAGTAATTCTTTAAAAATACCTTTAACTTACATATCCACCTGCCCCCATGGTGCTGAATTCACCTGAGAATGCTAACCCTATATCTCCAATAATACCAAGTATCCCCAGCCTCATGGCTGCACCAGATGAATGTGGCTAGTAGGAGACCCCCCTCCCCTTCTATCAGTTCTGGATGCTTACTTTGCTTCATGCTTCACTGCAAAAATTAGAAACAAACAGAAGAGAACTACCCTCATCTCTCCTCCCTAACTTTGCCAGTCCCTCTGTCTGTATCCACACTTCTACCTCCCACTTACAAATGAGTATCCCTTTTTTCCATGCATTCCCTCTACCTGTGCTGGGAATCCCATTCCTCCTTGCATTGAAGACAGGGTTGCAGAGCTTCACTCCTGAAATCATCCTTCTATATCATCCAAATCTTACTCTACTGAATCATTACTCACACAACCTTGTTCTAGAATCTCCTGTCCTTTAAAAAACAACAACCAACGAGCAGCTTTTGAAAAAATGTATTTTTAAAAACGTTTACATCCCCTCTAACCTCTGCCCAGCTTCATAGCCCAATCTCTCAAGAGTCATTCAATTTGCTGTTTCCACCTCTCAGACCCCCACTCAGCCCACTCCAGATGGTACCCCAATCCCTGAGAACATTCTGTACACCCTTTGCATGGCAAATATTTTAGGCTGTGCTGATCAAATACAGCTGGTGACCCTTATCCTTTTGGAGTTTTTTTGTTTGTTTGTTTTATTTTGCTTTTTTAAAACCCTTCAAAAATGTAAAACATATTCTTAGCTTGAGACTGTAAAAACAGACTGTGAGCTATCCTTTGTACTAGGCCATGTTGATCCCTGGTCTGAACAATGAATGGCTCAGTAATCAGTCTTGAGCCCCCTTTTCTACCTGTACTCTCTCCCTGTTTGACTTCATTGAATCCCATGACTTTAAAGTATAATTGTACACTATAATGATTCCACAGTTTACACCTTTATGATAAACACCTTCACTGAACTCCAAACTCCTGTGTCTAAATGCTAACTTGACATTTCCAAGTCAAAATTCAATGTGGCGTATCACAAACCACAGTTCCATCTATTGCGTAGTAAACATATCTAAGTTAACATATTCTGAATAAAACCTGCTCCTCTCCCAGTCTCACCTAAGTCAGTAAATGACACAACCCAATTGCTCAAATCCATACTCCTTGACATCTCATTTCTCCTTACTCCTACTGCAGCAAGACCTGTTATTTCTCTCTCCAAAATGAACCCTGCTTTCTGGCCACTTCTTCATCTTTACTGCTACTCCTTCATCCACGTCTCCTCATCTCCAATGTGAACTGCCATGAAAGTCTCCTCACTGATCTGTTTGCCTGAACTCTTATCCATCAATACTCATTCTCGATGAGGTAGCAGAAAAATMTTTTAAAAACAATCAGATTACATTATTTCTCCTATTAAAGCCTCTGTTGGCACTTAAAATAAAAAACATACTCATTTTACTATGGCTTATGAGGCCATAAGTAAGCTGCCTGGCTCTCACTAACCTCTCTGATCTCAAGTCTTACTCCTTTCTTTGCTCAGTACACTCCAGCCCACCAGACTCCTCTCATTTTTCAAGAACACCATGCTTGTTCCTGTCTCAGAACTTTTGTACCTGCTGTCCGCAAATCTTCAAATGACTAGTCTCCTTGTTACCATTTAAGTCAAATGACCCCTTTACCCTCATTCACTTTTATTTCCTGAAATTAGCTCATCTATTTATTTGATCACTTGTTTATTATTTACATTTTCCACAGGTTCCTTAAAGGCAGACTGTGTTCATATATATTTTATCTCCTAAAAGAGTGCCTGGAACACAGTGGATACTCATTAAATGAATAAATGAGTAAAAGTGAAATGACCAGAGTATTTTTTCTGTTTATACAATTTTGAACTATTTTTTCAAAGTATTGTTCTCCAGATGATCAACCAAATGGCTAGATGCTTAATATAGTCTCTAAAATATAAATCCTATATGGTAGTAATTGTGCTACATTCTAGAAATACAATAATATGTTGAAATTGGTTCCTGTCTCTTAGGATTGTGTAATCTGGTGAAATAATCATGTAAAGTGATTACAGTACTGGGACACATGAGTAACAGAAATATGTGGTAACATTAACTCATCCTGGAGAAGTTAGGGATGGCTACATGTAGGAAGTAAAATTTGAACTAAATTTAGGATAAGTAGAGCAGAAAAGGAGGAAAAGGTATTACAAGACAGGGAAATACATGCAAAGACAGAGCAACTAGAAAAAAAAATATGCATCATTAAAACAACAATCAGACAAGGCTGGACCATGGGAAATAGTAGGGTGGGAATAGTGGAAAATAATGACATGAGCAAGGGAGAAGGGATCACTGATGAAGCCATGCTCAGGAATTGGACTTATCCCTGCAAAATGATTGGCTGATTCTAAGAAGGAAGATAGCATCATCAGATTTATGTAGCAGAAAGATCACTTTTCGGGATGGGGTTGTGGCTCAGTGGTAGAGCATTTGCCTACTATGTGTGAGGCACTGGGTTTGATCCTCAGAACCACATAAAAATAAATAAATAAAATAAAGGTATTGTGTCCATCTACAACTAAAAAAATATTTAAAAAAAAATAAGAAAAAGAAAGAAAGAAAGTTTACCTTTCCTGCAAGATGGCAGAGAAGATTAAAAGCCTGGGCTTAGAGAGAAAAGTCAGATTACCCAGAGGAGAGGAAAGAACTGCAAGACAAACCCTGAGGAACACCAACTTTAAAGGTCTCTTTCCTGGTCAAGAAGAGTTAGGGGATAGCAGAGTAACAGAAGCTACAAAGAGAATTTTAAGGCAAAGACAGTGACCAACAGTGTCACAAATCAGAAAAATCCAATAAAAAAAAAAAAAGAGGGGAAAGTATCAAGTGGATCTGGCCTTGGGCTAAGTCCCTGGGGACCTTAGCAATGATTATTTTTGTGGTGTGTACTTCATCAAAGMAACAGAAGAAGCCAGAAGAGGATCTAGATTCAAGGAATAGAATTTTGTTTGTTTGTAGTTCAATGAGAGAGAAACTTCAGCATGTTTATACCTGAGAAGAGCCAGCCACTAGGGATCAAGAAGAACAGAAAACAGTCACTGTGAAAATGAAGGAACATGCCTTATTCAGAAAAGGAATATTTTTTTCCTATAAAATAGGAGAAAAGTTTTGGTGTAGATATGTATGGGTATAGCTATGAATCTATGTATAGATTTGGGAGTGCAGGGCTAAAGGATGGTGGCAGAAAAATTGAAGAAAATTCTTTTTTTTTTTTTTTTCGTGTCAGAGTCTCTGAGGAGGCTACCAGTAGATAATGCCCCTTTCTAGCAATTTTTAAATAMACCAAAAATTAAAGTAGAAAATACAGATATTAAGAGTGTCACCTTAATGGCTTTAGGTCTCAGCCAAGTGGGGCCACTGATACTCAGTGCCAGAAGCAGGCAGCTCTACTCACCCTGACAGGCCACAGTTGAGCTCAGGTTGGGTTTCTGCCCAAAGAACATTCAGATGGTAGAGCACTCAGATTTTTTGYGGGCAACTTGCTCCCATAAAGAGGATGGAGTTGAGCCCAGTCTGTACAGTTATTCTTCTCAAATTTACCAATCAAGAAAATCACTCCCACTCTCAGGTGCAAAGTGAGGAAAAGGAGAGAGGTCTGGAGTTTCACTAATTGAACTCCCCTTCATAGGGAAGAAACATCACAAGTGTGGAAGAAGAGTTCCCCACTAACAGTTTCTGTCTTCTAAATAAAAAAATAAAGAGAGCGACCTGTTTAGAATCAGATAGGGGTAAGGGAAGAMACTATTATTATTGATTTACGATACTGACAATGTTTGGAATTGCTATGTGGGTAAACAGGAGGGGGAAAATCTCTTTTTATCATTGAGAGACCAGACAGGGCTGGAAGTCATAGATTTTTCAGGAACATTCATTCACACAACTGTGTGATCCTTAGCTGAGATTATACATYTAGGGTTGTACATAAAATCAAGGAAACTGTCTCACAAGGTGAGTTTCAAGAAAGGAGTAGTCAACTATAGGAAATGAAGCGGAGAAGTCAGGTGAGAGGAGACTGAATGTTGTCCATTGGATTTAGTGACTTGGCTGTCATAAAGTGAACTTTTGTTTTGATGGGGTAATGTGGTAGAAACCAGGCTGAAATAGGTCAAAGACTGAATAGAAAGTATGAAAAAAGAGACACAAAATACATAAACAACTTTTTCTTTGGAGAGAAAGATTTGACTATAGAAGGAATAGAAATGCGGTATAGTAATGAAGAGATATGCAGATAACAGAAGGTTTTGTTTAGTTTTATTTTATTTTTAGATAGGAAATGTCAGGCAATGTCTGAATGATAAGAAAGCAATCAGGAGAGAAGAGAGAGTGGGAAATAAATAGATAAATCCCAACTTCTAATATTTTAGACTTGAAATTTACTGAACTTCATAATAAGGAAGAATAGAGATTATTTTTTGGTGTTCCTTGAGGAGAAAATGTTTAAGTTCTTCTAAATTCAATTCACTTAATTTTTCATTTTTTTCTTTAGAATGCATCAGGAATTTATGCAGAAATAGATGGAGCCAAAAATGAACTACAAGGAAAGTTATCTAACCTAAGTAACCTCAGTCATGATTTAGTCCAAGAAGCTATTGATCATGCACAGAACCTTCAACAGGAAGCTGATGAGTTGAGCAGGTAATATCCTACTTTTAGAAACACACTTGTCTACATGGGTTGAAGAAAATTTTTATTCAATTCCACATGCTAGAGTTACTAGGATACAATGTTAGCTAATTGGTTAGGTCTGGCTTTGCTTAWTTGTTGATGTATTTGTTAATTGTTCCCTCTGAGAGCTGGTTATCATTTGTCAAAACTGTTTTAGGGAGACAGTATTTTTAATTTTAGAAAATCTGTCAGATCACAGAACTATGTTCTTGGCTGAGGTACACTTGGACCTGTCCTGCAATTATTAACAGAGAAACCTAAGGCATTTTGGTCAGGGACAATAAAGCAGATCCCTTTATGATGTCTAATTCTACTGTCATCACCTACTTCATAGATAGCATTTGCTTTCTACACCCAAGTATCTCAAGTAAAGCTCATTGAAAGCTGGAAATACAACTGACTTCTTGTAAATACTCTAGCCTTTCTGCAGTGCGCAGCAGGAACTATTTGATTTCAACACCTATTAAGAGAAAATCAATTGACAATTTTCCTCTCAGCATCTAGAAAAGAGTCACACACCCCTTGGGCACTCAATTAATGTTAATTGAAATGTGCTGAAAGATTGGAATTGAATTCATGACCCTGAAATAATAGGTAAATAATGAGATCATTATAGAGAACAACTATAGATCAGGTGGTTAGAAACAAGGACCAGTAAAGGTCGTGAATGAAATAAGAACCAATATTACTACTGTTCAAAACATACATCACCTTTTTATTCCTATTTACCAAAATTTTCAAACACCCTTCCAAATCTCCTTGGAAGGGAGCAAAGGATAAAAGAGAAAGAGAGAGTAAACTCTTGGTGTGGGGGATGGTATTATATTCAGCACAGGATCATGCTCCTAGGAAATGTGCTTTGGAGGAAGGCAAAAGAAAAAAAAAAAAGGAACTTAAGGTAAAATGCTGGTTTTGACAGTATACTGTATTGGTAGGATATTGTTTTTGAAATCCATCCTATGGCTTTCTTCATCATTCTTTTGTCATTTTAGCAACACCACCCCTACTTGTGATCCCAAAACATACCTAATCCAAATGCCACTCTGCAGATTGTTCATKCGCAATGCTGGGGAAGTTTTACTGCTTGCTTCACATGAAATGTGATCGAAAGTATCAATCACCCTGAAGTCCCTTTTGTGTTTCAAATATCTCTGACTGACCATATTCATGGAAATATTMAAATTTATAGCCATCTCCCCTTCAAAATGTCAATATCCCTCAACATCTGGTATGCATGATTTACATGTTGTGCTCAAACAAAGACAAATATTATTCATAGAGAAGCTTCCATTTCAAAAGCACTTTTTTCTTAACATAGATAGAGAATCTGTTTTGTGCATGGTGATAAAAACAAAGTAATAAAAGCTTTGTTTCAAGCTCTTCGGTATTTCTACCACTCTAGCCAACAAAATCTTGAAATATTAATAGATATTTATAGCCTTTTGTTCCTTTTWTCCCTTTTATTTTAATTTTTTTTTCTTGTCTACTTTCCTTGGGTGTTCCTCTCTGAGCCATTTCTGAAAACAAGTAGCATTGGTGTTTGGACCATCTCTACAGAGCATGGCCTTGATGGGTTCCTTTCTCATAAAACAAAATAAATTAAAACTCCATGACTACGTTAGTATCCAGATTAGCATAATTATCCTCACTCTTTCTTCTGATTTGAAAAAGTATTAAAGAGAAAACAATCTTGTGAGCTCCTACTGTGTCTAATGGGTAAGCCCGGACACAGGGAGATGGAAGGATGATGGAATTGAGCAAAAGGGAGAGAAGTAGCTGAGGAAATACAAAAGTCACTCAGAGCCTAAGAGGATATCCAGGGACTGCACTGGGATGGAGAAGGCCGAGCAGTAATTGACTGAGCTCAGTAGTTTGGGTGGTTTGCAGAGAGCAGCCTGCATGGCATCTGCAATGTCATATACTGAATGGGTCACAGAGAACCTTCCAGAGGGTACTGATAAATAAAGTGATACTGTCATCAGTGTCTGGGACTGAGAAAAAATACGGAATCGGGGGATATAAGTCTGAATGAAATTAAGACAAGTGATTAGAATAAGCTGTGGAAATCAGAGTAGAGTTTATATCATAGAGGAAGAAGTATTTTTTCAAAAAAAACTCATGTGGATACATACAGTTTACAATTTCAATTTAGGAAATAGTTTAGGTATAATAATAAAGCCTATAGTTCACTGGATGCCAGGTGCAGGATGTCAATCATTTACACACTTCATCTCTATTATGCCTCACATTAATCCTTGACAAACATACGGTTWTTAGCCCCTGTATGTGAGAGTACCTGGTGCGTGATGGGTACTCAGTGAATGTTCAGTGAACCTTAAAACAGGCTGGAAAGGCAAAGGCAGAGAGCATGGTGTRTGAGGACAGAGACAGAGGGTGCAGAGCTAGGGCCCCACACTTCAGGGATGCAGCAGGGGCTCAGGAGTGAGACCATCTTAAACCATTGTATCCCCTGGCAAGCAAGGCCCCTCTCTGAGGGCCTCAGCTTCTCTTTAGAAGAGGGGGTAACAATGCTGACATGGGTAAGAAGAAGGCAGGGGCCCCATTTCCCAAGRAGATCAGAAAGAGAAATAATAATACATTCGTTTATTAACAGGAATTTACACAGTGCAGACATGAATGGGCTGGTGCAGAAGGCTTTGGATGCATCGAATGTCTACGAAAATATTGCCAATTACGTTAATGAAGCCAATGAAACAGCAGAAATCGCTTTGAATGTTACTGACCGAATTTACGATGTGTGTATTCCCTTATTTTAAGGTTCATTTATATGTTGTCTCCCCACACTTGACTCTCGCTTTCTAATGAGGTCTCTTCAGCTTCCAATACAAAGTAAAAATGGCAGAAAGGGAAGGCAAGCTAAGAAAAGACCATTTTATGCCATGAAGTTTTCAGTTTGTAAGTTTTTCAAGATGTGCTGTGCTACAGTCAGCAAATGCTAATTCCTTTGACAGTTTTGTTTTTAGCCCAAGTCCCCAAAGAAAACATACTTAAGACTAGTTTCTGCTGATAGAGAACATGCTTTATGCTTGCATTCTGCTTTTTTCAACTTGAAATTATTTATTGAGTGACTTCTATGTGACAAACACTTTGTTGGAGCTTTGACCAAGACAATGTTCTAGGTTTGCTGCATTCCTCCCCCCCCCCCCCGCCAAAAAAAATTATCTTGGAAAACCTAAAGACATTGTTTTCTCATGTTCACATTTGACCTTTTCCTTGAGCTATGAAAATGAAGCTGTGTGACTTTTGCTTGGTGTTTAGCAGATAATTTGACATTTAAAATCCAAAACCCATGAAAAACTGATTTCTTCTGCTGTCATTCTTATTCTCTCTACCCAATTCCTTTGCAGGCTGTGAGTGGAATTGATACTCAAATCATTTACCATAAAGATGAAAGTGACAACCTTCTCAATCATGCGAGACAACTGCAAGCAAGAGCAGATTCAAGTAAGTATATTCATTTTTCCTATATTCCTTCTGCTTGATAGCTGCTTCTCTCCTTTCATACATATAGACAGATATTTATAAAATCTAGTCTTAAAGAGTAAATAAAATTATAGCTGATGCTAATAAAAAAAGAAAGAAGTAACAACTGAAAAATATATCAATAGTTCCTACCCAGAATCAAGTTACAAAAAAAGCAAAGATTTGCTATTTTAAAACAAATTTTGATCAAAAAATAGCTTCCATGTTGTACAACCACATGGAGACATGTAGTTATTCAATATATGGTGAGTATTATTGCTAATCAGATAGGCCATTAATAGAAATATCATAAATACCAATTTTTAAGGAGATAATGCCATAAAACATACTTAATATTAAAACTCTGTTGCACACAATCTTTCTTAAACAATTCAGAAGGCCTTTTTAAATTTTTACCAGGAAAGGATGGATCATCGCTGTGAGCATTGATTAGGATGACAGGGAACCATGAAGCCATCTGGTTATTTGCACTCTCTTGTAGTTCGTGTTTTACAGTTGACTGTACTTAGGACAAGCCCAATGACCATATGGAAACAAGCATTTGCAACTGCCAGTGTTTGCATCTGCTAACTACAGCAAACACATTGAAGAGTAGGATAGGGAAAGAAAAATAAAAGTGAAGTCATTTCCATCTACTTTAAATCCCAGGAGTTACTCTTAAAAACAACTGAATGAATGGCTAAGAATTTCACTAAACATTACTCATCTCTGGGTAGTGAATTCATTCCTAAGGATATTTGTTCATTGACTAATGAGGTTGGAAATTCATTATCTAGCTAACTTTTAACTACCACCTACAATCAAAGGCCAAGTTTCAAACTGAAAATGTCATGCAATTTTTATCGAAGTAATTAATCTCAAATCTAACCATGCATTTCCCTTTTTTTTCCCTTTGCAAAGAGCTATTATATAAAGAAAATAAAAGGACTTTAATTTTCATGTGTGGAATACTTAACTATTTAGTTACTACAAACATGGGTTGTTGTTTTTTTACATTTTCTAGGTAAACAAATGCAATAAAAATGCTATTAATTTTTTCTAACAAATCTTAACAAAAGTGTAATTAATTTATTATATTCTAATCCTGAACATCCTTTCTGGAAAATAATTAGCAGTAATGAATTAGACTATTTGCAGCAAAATACTTTAAAATAACTGTTGTCACATCTACAAGTTATTTTTGTTTCTTGTGTTTTAAAGACCAGACTATGTGGGTCTTCATGACACAGTAATGTCAATGTTTTATTCTCCTTGGTGATTTGTAATGTATTTTCTCCATCCTATCACTATTGAATTATTGAAGCTCATAAAAACAACTTTTCTGCTCTGGGAATGGCAWGTCTTCAAAGGTTCATATTTTATGTCCACTAAATCTCTCTGCATCTGGATCTTTTAAATATTCTGCAGATATGGTCACTCAACTTGATCTTTTTTGGTAAAATCCCTTTAGTATCTTTGTAAAAGGGGTGGCAAACCAGAGTTAGGACTATGTGGCTCAATGCTTTATACCACTGTCTCCTTTAATAATAGGAATGTTAGTGACATAAATTTAGTTTTTTTTTAATGAAATAATTATTATCTACTAAGGTACTCTATAATTTCAGATTACTATTCATTTCCAAGTGATTTTCTATGATGAGTAATCTTTAGTTCCCAGTTTTCCTATTTTTTTTTATTTACCTATATCAAATAGTTTATGTGTAATAAACTCAGAATGCTGCTATTTGAAATAATCATCAACAGTAACAGTAAGTTCCAAACAGGACACACTTTTTATGAAACATTTCTTTTTATAAACATCCAGCTCCAAAAAGATTTTTTGTCCTACTTTTATCAAAAGTTCCAAATATAGAGTTAAATATATTTTTTTCTCAGTGTTCCAGGCAGTGTTTTATGTGGTCACAGGTCCAAAAGGAAGAGCAGAAAAATGTTTTATATCACAATATTTGAAAATTGAAATTTAAAAGAAGGAAAGAAGGTGCATTGTCACTACAAAGTATGTTAAAGTCACTCATGGAATTCTGGGAAATCGTTCAAATCCCAGAGGAAATAAAAAGAAGTGCTTGTCCTTAGTACACTATACTTGGTAACAGTACAATTAAGCGCCACCATATATGTATATGGTGATATATGCATATGGTGATATATATATGCATATATATGTATACCACCATTATACACATATATGGAGGAAAAAAAAAACAACAGAAACCAAAACACACCAAGATTGCAAAGTAGAAAAAGGGAAGTACACCATGAGAGAGTGTGTATTTACAAGCCCATTGGAGAAAAAGACAGTTTATAATGAGAAGTAAGGTGAGAATTTTGTAATTTGTAAGAAGCATAAATTCTTGAGGTTTTGAAAGTAAATAAAGCACAAACATAAGCAAAGAATTACAGGGAAAACTGATCCTTCAGTTCAAATAAAGAAACATGACCTGGTTGTATTTGCTCAAAGGTAACCCCAGCTTAGGGACTGTGCCAAGCACACTTTCAAGAATAACTCTGTAAGAAAGAGACTGTCAAAACTGATAGACTGAGGATAGAAGATCTGATAGAACTGTATGTACACAGAGATTTACAATGTGTTTGATCAGTAATTAAATTCTTCTTAAAAAGAAATCTCCAGACTCCTCAGTGGATTCTTTCAAACACTTAAAGGATTAACACCACTCTTACACAAACCCTTCCAGAAAATAGAGAAAAAGCAAATTCTTTCTAACTCATTCTATAATATCAACAATAAATAGATACCAAAACCTGACAAGGACATATAAAAAAGGAAAAATACAAGCCAAATTCTCTTACAGATATAAAAATTCTAATCAAGATATTTTCAAATCAAATCTAGTATATATAGAAATTGTTGTGTGACCAATTTGAACTTATTCCAGGATTTCAGATATTTTAACATTTAAACCATCAATTTTATTTCACCATATTTATAAAATATRGGGAAAAATTCATGTGATCATCTCACTACATGCAAGAAAATCATGTAATAAAACTCAATATTCATTCATGATCTTAAAAAACTCTGAGTAAACCAAGAACAGAAGTAAACTTCCATAATCTAATAAGGAATAACAAAATAATAAACAAATATATTAATAATAAAATATTAAGGGCATTTCCATTAAGATTGAAAACAAAACAAGGATACCCCCCATTGCCAATTCAGTGTGTAAAAAAASTCAGAATAATTTTACATAAATAAATAGAAATTGACTTTTTAATATAACACCATTTGCAGTAGCATCAAATACTTAAGGAAGAATCTCATAAAAGATGTTAGCTAAGATCTCTACACATAAAGCTATAGTACACTATGGAAAGAGATTAAAGAAGATCTAAATAAAAGAATATCTAAGTAAGTTTACATCTAAAGAAGAAAAAGTAAATACCATACGCACTGAAAAGAGGATCCAACTTTGTAAAATTGACAATTCTGCCAAATTTGTCTATAGATGCAATACAATACCAATTAAAATACTGTGGGGGGAGCGTGTAAACAGTATGATTTTGGAATTTCTATGGAAATAGGAAACAATTGTCAAGAATAGCCAAAATAATCTTGAAGAATGAAAATAAAGATAGAAAACTTAAACTATGAGATATCAAGACTTATTCTAACTCTACATAAATCAAAGATATAAAAGATTTGTCATGCCTTTGGAATAGAGTTAAAAGCCAGACAAGAGTAAATGGAGATAGAATTCAAAATAGTGGTCATCTTCCAGTCATCACAGGGTCACAGGGAGCTTCCTGGGTGCAGATAAATGCCCTTTATAGGGTGCTAACTGTATTTTGTGTTCACTTTCTGAAGACTCATCAGCCTGTGCATTTATAATGTGTGCCCTTTTGTAGATGTATGCTATAAATCAATTAAAATTTTACTGAAAGTACTTTAAAAATGTTCTTAAGTATAACCAAACCAGTCATTATCATATAGATAAATTGATTTCCTTTTTTTCAGCTCTTTATCAGAGTGCTGCTAGGTGTTATCAGGCATAGCACTGCTATACTTCCCAAAGATAATAGCCATGATGGCATCCTAAAGTCACTCCCAACCAGGGTTACAAATTTCATATAATTCTATGCCTCTTATCCTATATGCCACTTTCCAAAAGTAATGATCTATGTCCAGCATATTCAGAATATTGCAGATGACTCCATGGTGTAAATCAGGATTTTCCTTCTTGAAATAAAACCTTTTTCCAGTCATCTTGAACCCACTGGTTACTTTTATCTGCTGCTTCTCCCCAGGCAATGAGGAGGCGGTAGTTGACACCAGCAGGCGTGTGAGCGGGGCCATGGCCAGGAAGAGTGCCCTTAAACACAGATTAAATGACGCTGTTAAGCGACTGCAAGCAGCAGAGAGAGGTAAGGATCACAGAATTTAAAAGTCTCTTCCGTTTGTTCACTGGTAAAAAGAGAAACCTTTGAGAAAGGATTAGGTGATTCCTTATTTGTCAATCTTTTAATTTTTTTCTTATGACAAAAGAAACAATGTTCATTACACCCCCTCCCCCAAAAAATTGACCTGGAAAATAAAAAGAATAAATAAATGCAAAAGCTGTAATCACCACATCCAGAGATGAGCTTTAAATTTGAGAACATTTTCCTGGCATGCTTGTGTGCCTGTGTGCACATGTATTTTTAATGGTGTCTGCTATTTATACTGCTTGGGAACCTGCTTTCTTTCAAACATTCATCCTCATTAACAATATGCCCTAATTTGGTTGCTGGATTTCTCTGGCCCCATCTGTAAACAGCTTCCCTCTGTTATATGTCAAGTTATTCTTATCATATAAGCAGGAAGATCAACAAGTCAAATAGAGAAACAAGCGCACTCATCTTGCCTAATCTGGTACAGTAGTGTTTTAGAAAGATGTGATTGGAAGCAGATGTGCCTTCCTCAGCATAGCAAAAGTTAAGACCTTACTGCTGGTCRTGGGTGGTTTACTAAAAGAAGCAGTAATGCAGTACTATTAGACAAAACTCTGGCCTGCCCGGAGAATGGTGGTCCATTAAGAAGCTTCATCTTCAACATCATCAGAGCTGCTGTTTATTGATACTTACCATAATCAGGGTTCTGTGCTAAGAGTTTCACATTCCTTATTTCACTGGGGATAAGTATTATTACTACCTTTAGATATTTAGAAACTCAGAGGCATGTCAGGGTTAGGGAACTTGCTCCAACAAGATCCAAGGTTCAGACCAACATTTATCAGAATCCAGAGTGTGGAAGGCTGAATTAAATGTTTCCTCACTTTAAATTTGAAGCTGCAACATCACCTAAGTGATTTTAATTATTTTTATTGTGGAAGTAATACATACAAAAAAAAATATTGATAAGAAGAATCACCTGTAATCTCATCACCTAGGCAAAATTTATTGTTGTAAGCTGAAGTTATTTTTATTTTTAAATATGTAATGATTTTAAAACAAAAGTGGGATGTTACTCTTGAAATTTGCTTTTCTTATGCAAAAATACCTTTTCTTATTAATTTAGTTCTGTACTAAATGCATCATTATCTTAATGACAAAAGTGTTCCACAAGAATACTTTTCCATAGAGATATTTATGATGACTTTCAGACACAAACATTCTATAATTTAAGATCTCATATGCATTTTCTATGGCTTTCTCACCAGCTCTCTAATGTAAGRAAACACTGTCAGATTTTGTTTTTTGTTTTTTTTCAATTTAACTTTTAATTTGAAATTCTTTAAGTGAACTACTTTGTTTTAATGAGAAAGTAATCTTTTGAACTCATTAAAACTGTTTAAAATATTCTTGTACACTTCATTTATACCATCATTAACATATRTTTTAAAATCTTAGTTTTTGTTAACATCTCAAATTTGAAGTCTGTTTCATCCCATGGATTGAATGGATGTTAATGTTCTCCAACAATTGTCCTGCTGCCTGCAAAATGAGTGTCTTGTGCTCTGTGTGAAGGTGATGCTCAGCAGCGCCTGGATCAGTCCAAGCTGATTGTTGAGGAAGCTAACAAGACAACCATGGAGGTCCAACAGGCCACCACCCCGATGGCTAACAATCTCACCAGCTGGTCACAGAATCTTCAGAATTTTGACTCTTCTGCTTATAACACTGTGGTGGACTCTGCTAGAGATGCAGGTATATGTATCACTTAGACATTTTGAAAATCAGATTCAATTAAAATATTGTTCATTAAATTCTCCACACCTTTTGATGAGAAACACTATATTTCATTTGGGTTTTGCTTTGGAATATGGTAGAATTTAGTTTTAAAAAAGAGAAAATTTTTATCTATAATCTATGCGCCTGTGTGCGTGTGTGTGTTTGTATATGTGTATATACATATATATAAAAAGCAGTAGAAAGACCCATATTTTTTTCTAYATGAAATAATGACAGCAATTGTTTTCAATGTAAGACCAATCTTCAGTGAAAAAAGGTCAATCAAATGTTAAATAACCTTAACAAAATATTGTTTCTTTTTAAGGAAAAATTTCTAAGTGGCATTGCTTTTACCAAACAGAATTGCTTTTTTCCTTAACTGAGTAAAGCATGTTACTTCCAAAAACTACTGACTATAACCAAATATAATAACTTTCCATTAAGAACAAGGTATTGGCCAATTTGAATGTGCAATTTTATAGCACAAAATAAAATATTTTAATGTTTACCTCCTTCAGTTATACATGATTATTAAAATCATATGATATTTGAGAAATTTTTTTTCCATTCTCATATTTTTATTCAGTATCTTCATAACCTCTTAAATATCAATGTCTATCAATATTATGATAAATTACTGAACTTTTAGTCATTCTCTAAGAGCCATTCTTCAAAACGGTGTAACAGACTCTTTTTTCCTATGTTTGAATCTAAATTAGAAACAACCTTAGAAATTCATGTCAGATCTGTCCATCACTAGAAATGTTATCACAATTTACAAATACCCATTACTATAACAGAAAAATGGCTCTTTTATATCATAGTTTCAGTATATGTTCATGAGTTCTTCCATGTGACCACTCATTTACTTGCTTTTAAATTTTAATCTTTCGTTACATTTTTTTTTCAAAATATTGCTTCAGGAATATTTGTTCTGTGTTAATTTTTCTCCATTTTCACCAGTCCTATCATGTGATTCCAATAAGCATCCAGAACTAATTCTAATTGAAATTGGTTCAGAATACTATGTTTTCCTCAAATAGCTATTTGTGGTTCAAAACAAAGTGAATGAAATGGCTTACAATAATATAAGAGACTTTTTAAAGACTCTACTATAAGTTAGCTCTCTTTTTCTGARAGAATTGGGGGGTACCCTGTCTTATATAGAATTCTATAACCACAATTTAATATAACACTTTCATATACTTTATTATTTTTAATTTTTAAAGATTTTTATGCTATAAATGACTGTTATGGTCAGTGATCCAAACAACAAATATTAATCAACACAATAAACTGAGAATTGCTATTATTTTCTTAATTTTATTCCTTATCCTGGAGAAACACCTTGTGTCCAAAGTACAAAGAAGTGATGTTTCCTTGACCTGCATTGACATATCTCCTCAATCTGAATTTAGTTTGGCTCTCGTCAGAAGCTTGCTCTTGCCCTACCGCTAATGCTCAGTGACCATGGTCCTGCCCTTAGGCAGGAGAATACACAAGAAAATATTCATTCTCTGGTCCAGTGGTTCTCAAATACTATTGTGCATCAGAATCCCCTGGAGGCTTGTTAAACCCAGGTTGCTGGACCCTACTCCCAGAGTTCCTCATTCAGCAGGTTTGGGATGGGTCAAAGAATTTGCATTTCCAGTAAGTTCCTTTTGAAGCTGATGATACTGGCTGATGATACTTGACCATACTTTAAGAATCACTGTTCAGTGGCTGAAAATTTGAAAAAAGTAGTGCCATCTTCTGTAGTTTAGGTTTCTCTCATCAAGTTGCATCCTTGTGACTTGTGCTCTTTTCTATGTGTGCATTATGCATTCCAAGGGAGGAAAAAAACTGCATATGATCAGTCACAGGCCCCCATGGAGGAAGTACAGCCACACTAGGCTAGATCTAGGGGATTGTGTACTCCATCCCAGCCAAGTCCTCTTTTGCTATCCCCCACACCAGATGTTATTTTGTTTTCCAGGAGCTCCAGGCCTAGAAAGAAAAAGAAAAAAGATCAGTAAGGTCTGCTTGCAGAATCTCCCTTGTCTGGGCCTAGAGACCATAGCTGCCCACACTCAACTTGGCACAGCTGCCATTTTCTGGGTGCTACCTAGTTTCCTCTGTTCAGTTCTGCCTCTGCAGGACAGTAGAGCAGCACTGTGATATATGCACAGACATCCTGGAAAACAGCCTTTTTACCTCCTTTTACCTCATGAAAATTCTTTTCTTCAGTCGTATCAAGTTATATTAGAAATGCAAGCAGAACCTGTGCTGTATGATTAAAGGAACTTTAGTATGTTTGTCATGGGTCCTCCTCTTTAGGAATTTACATTATATGTCAGCATGTTCCACATTTATAGACTATGTACTACAAATGTGACAAGATAGAAACAGATTATGCTTTGGGATTTACTATAAATTTGGTAGGATTAAAAATAATTTGTTATACGGCTGGGGTTATAGCTCAGTTGATGGAGCGCTCACCTAGCATGCATGAGGCACTGGGTTCTATCCTGAGCACCACAGAAAAATAAAATAAAGGTATCATGCCCATCTACTATAAAAAATATTTTTAAAAAATAATTTGTTATAGATCTACCAGAGGTAATCAGTGTTGTCTCTTCACTTGATTCCTGAAATATACCTAATATTGAGACATTCACTCAAGTGATTAACTTTTATTGTTGCAGTAAGAAATCTGACAGAGGTCGTCCCTCAGCTCCTGGATCAGCTTCGTACAGTTGAGCAGAAGCGCCCTGTAAGCAATGTTTCTGCCAGCATCCAGAGGATCCGAGAGCTCATTGCTCAGACCAGGAGTGTCGCCAGCAAGGTAACTTAGGAAAGGAGTCATCAGTCACTTGGTGATAATGAGATTGTGATGCTGATCCAGGGTCTGGAACCTTCCTATTATATTATCCAGCTCAGTAGGTCTCAGTCCCATTTGTTCATTAGAATCCCATTGAAAAATAAGCCAATTCCTCATCTTAACCRCAGAACAATATATCAGGATCTCTAGATGAAGGGCTCAACACATGTATTTTTTTAAAGCTTCTGGGGTTTTTCTAAATCTGTAGCCAGGATTAAGAACCACAGAGTTTGACAAATCTGATATTACAAATCAAGAAAGCCCCAATTAAAAAAAAAACACTCAATTTAATATCATTATCATTTGTTATTTTAACAGCCCTTTAGTGCAATTAGCATATGGGATAATCTTGCCCATCTGTCCTACCTCTTCAAGAAATTCTCTAGTACAACATAGATTATGTGAAGCATTTATTGCCCACTCTGCAGGCTTAACTGAGGAATCACATACAATACCAGCTAAGAGGAAGAAACTCGGGGACCCTCTTCTGAGATACTTTCACAGAAGCAATCTAGCAAGCAGATAACTAAAGCCAGTGTTGGTAGGGACACATCTCCATGTGACAATTAATGTACTCAGTGTGACAAAGTAGCACTCATTTTTGGACCCTTTTTTTTTGTTTTTATTTTTTTAATTGATCTATAGACCAGCCTTATTCTTTACAACCAAATTACATGATTTTATTTCTCAATTAAAAACTGGCTTCAAAAGACTATAGGTCCTAATTACTGACAGAAAGAAGAACAAGGAATCAAGTATTTTATAATGATAAAGATTATTCTTGGTAAATATATCCAAATTTTAAATGATAAGTGATAAATAGTCCTATACCATAAATTATCTTATTTGGATATCCCAGTGAACACTTCAAAGAAAGTTTATCTTAAATGTACATTAAGAAATGRCATTTTAAAAGCTAGGTTTCTGAGAGTGATTTCTCATAACACTATATCCATGGAGTATAACCTTGGGGTCTTAATTACCTAAAATCATTTTCTAAAGAGAATCTGGGCCTTACCCTTGGGAACCTACCCATTCTCCAAAGTGAGGGGCTTTTTCTGTAGACACACCTCCTGCTCAGACTCTCCATTTTTACAAAAAGACCTCAACTCCACACTGCATGATAGTATGTTAAGATGTATTCATCTTTACTCAACTGGCAACATAGAACAGCTGTATTCTAGACACTTAGGAAGAGATTCTGATACTATCAACATCAGCCAAATCAATGTTAACTGAGGTAGACACATCTAATTATTCAGAAATATTTATACAAATGGCATGAGTATACACAGTCCATCCATTTCTGAATACTTCAAAAATCCCCTATGAATCAGATCAGTTTAGCATATCACATAGGGCCTCTTAGAAATGAGCTGAAACAGTGCTTTGTTGTTATGCCTTTCCAAGAATCAGTAGAAGAAACATGTAAGGAATTTGTCATTACCAGTAGCATACTGATAGAATCAGGGACTGCAACATATATAATATCATTCTTACAGCAGATTTATTATCCTTACTTTACAGATGAAAAACTGAGAGTTAACTAAACTCGTTCATGATTAGTAGTAAGTGGCACAGCCAGGCTGCAAACCTGAGAAGCTGTGTCTAGACTCTTCTAGACTGTGCAGGTGCAGTCAAGGGTGTTGCCTCACAGCCTCACCCCATACTCCTTTTATGGTGACCTGGGAAGAAGTTCTTGGTACCCAAGACTAGTTAACACTTATAAATAATTCTTGAATACATTTTAGGAGTCTTGTAAGGCTCTATCAGAAATGAGGGAAGACCAAGGAAAAGCTTTCTGCCCATTTCTGCAGAGTACTTTTAACAGAACAATTTTGTAACCCCAGATTCAAGTCTCCATGATGTTCGATGGCCAGTCAGCTGTGGAAGTGCACCCCAAAGCCAGTGTGGATGACTTAAAGGCCTTCACATCCCTAAGCCTGTACATGAAGCCTCCCATGAAGCAGCCAGAACTGTCTGGAACCACAGATCAGTTTATTCTGTATCTTGGAAGCAAAAATGTAAGAGCATGAGGAGGGGATAATATGGAAAAAGAAAATTGCTTTTTCTCTGACTAAAACAAAGCTACCTAGGGGGTGGAAATTCACAGTCAGGTAACTCAAAAAGTAGAAATTATTTTAAGGCAGGATTGAAGTACTGATTTAAGAGCAAAGTGGTTCCTTCACTACAAGGGATATTTCTGGGATTGTTTTCTTTCAGCATCACATTACTGACAAGTCTGAACCAAGCATTTYAAAGGCTTTTTGAATAACAGCAAACTATGCTTGCTGCTTAATCCTGTTTGTAGACATATAGCAATTGGCATTGTCAGGATGCATCATATCCCTGATTAGCCTGACAACATTAGTACACTCCTGGAAGCCATCAAATCTCCACAAGCATGCAGTTCCTTTCCTTCCTGTCCAGGATGCACTTAGAGCAAGCATAGGGACAGCAGTCTCTGACACAGCCACAGGAAAGCTGGGTTGAGAAGAGCTGATGCCCAGTCTAGCAGAAGCTTTGGCTGATTAATTCCAACCAGAAGTTGCTGTGTATGCCAAAGTATTAGGGTTGCTGATTGTGCTTTTAAAAAATGAAAATTGCTAATACTCATTTATATAAATTTTATTTAAGTGACTTATTTATATTTCAGGCCAAAAAAGAGTATATGGGTCTTGCAATAAAAAATGATAACCTGGTGTACGTTTACAACTTGGGAGCAAAGGATGTAGAGATTCCCCTTGACTCCAAGCCCGTCAGTTCCTGGCCTTCTTACTTCAGCATTGTCAAGATCGAAAGGTAAAATGAACCCATGACACACAGCTTTATGTAAACATTTCATAAGAAATCTGTTGAATATACTCACACAGGCTTCCTGTGGATGTTATAAGTAGCATTTTATTCCTTTTGATTTTTGCTCATTTTTCTTTCATTATTTCTATACTCTGTCCCAAACACCTTATGGACAATAAAAGATTAGAAAAAATGGTCACTGTTTCCAAATAGTAATCTGATTATTATTTTTTTTTAACCTGGCCATTCCATGAGATAATCCCAAGAATGAAATGTCTTTTTCCCCTTCCCCTTAATAGTTAATAGTCTATAGGTGTTTCTTTTCTTTTCTTTTTTAAGAGAGAGAGAGAGAGAGAGAGAGAATTTTTAATATTTATTTTTAGTTTTTTGGCGGACACAACATCTTTGTTTGTATGTGGTGCTGAGGATCGAACCCGGGCCGCACGCATGCCAGGCGAGCTCGCTACCACTTGAGCCACATCCCCAGCCCTATAGGTGTTTCTTAATGTAACAAAATCAAATCACCAATTTTGTGATGAAGGAACATTAACATTTTTGACCTTAAGAACCTATTTCCTACAAATTATCAGGCTAAGAAAGAGTGAATATTCCTTCTCTCAACAGGGTAGGGAAACATGGCAAGGTGTTTTTGACAGTACCAAGTCTGAGTAGTACAGCAGAGGAAAAGTTTATTAAAAAGGGGGAGTTCACCGGAGTTGACTCCCTGCTGGATCTGGACCCTGAGGACACTGTCTTTTATGTTGGTGGGGTGCCTTCAAACTTCAAGGTAAGCTATCCACCTAAGGTTGACTTATTAAAAATCTACAATTTCTATCCATAAAACCTAAAATGATACAAGGAAGAAACTTGATATCATTTTGAGAGTTCGGCTCAGTGGGTACTAGAATTCCACATCAGGATCTATGAGTCTCTGCCACCTATATTTTTACTGTCAAAAGCTTTCATGCTATAGCTAACACTTGAAGATTAATTAATTTCTTTCTGATATGTATAAAGGTGACTAATATTACTCCCAGCTGCTGAAGGAGTGTCTGTGCCTTGTGGTGTCACCATGACTTGGATCTAGTCTTCAGCTTTGCATGTGGCAATTTCAAAAACTCTGTTATCTAATACAAGCATGAGATAAAGTGTATGGGATGAGAGAGAGTAGGACCTTGGGGAGAATTTGAGACCTGTTGAAGGGTAGATAAAGGAAAGGCCCAAAAAGAGTGGAAGTCAATCTAGGATTTCCATTCCAGAACTATTACTTACTACTGTGGGCACATTATTGAATCTAAAAATTACTTTCCCCCTCTTTATATGAGAACAGGAACACCTGCCCTACAGAGCTGGTGTGAGGATCGATTTTTATCATTAATTCACTGTCTAGCATATACTGCATTTTCATAGCCTACATTCAACAAATCCTACCTTCTCTGCTAAGATCTATATAAATGACATATCACTGCTTAGCTAAATGATTTCTCAGAGAGTAGACACAAACCTTGGCCTAGACAAGATATGTATATCAGTGGTCAGGTCTCTCTTGATGTGTGTTTAATTTCACTGCCTGTTCTGTGGTGTTGGGATGAAACTTGACCATGGGGTAATTGACTTTATCTGTCTTTTGCACAGCTCCCAGCCAGCTTAAATCTGCCCGGCTTCACTGGCTGCCTGGAGTTGGCCACTTTGAATAATGATGTGATCAGCTTGTACAACTTTAAGCACATCTATAATATGGATCCCTCCAAGTCAGTGCCCTGTGCCAGGTAAGAGACAGTTAAGGGTACCAAAGACTTTGATAGTCAGGCTAGACCAGCATCAGGACAAGTATGAGTCAACATGCAGGTTTTCAAACTTTTCTTTGGGGAAAACAATTATGAGACCACACAATAGTCATGCTTGAAACTGTTGAGTTTTCTCTGCCACAGAGGAGTGCACACAAGTATTTAAAGTGTTTACTAGTTTGAAGCTATGATATGAGAACCCGGAATTTCCCTGGAGACTTCAGTTTCTTAGTGCATAGCATGGAGAAGAAATCCACTAAAAACAATTAGCTTACTTGTTGTAGTCAGCTTTTATGCTGCTCTGACTAAAGGACCTGACCAGAACAACCTGTAGAAGAGGAAAAGTTTATATAGGGGCTCATAGTTTCAGAGGTCTTGGTCCACTGACAGCCAGCTTCATTCCTTGGGGCTCAGGGTGAGACAGGACATCATGGCAGAAGAATATGGCAGAAGGAAGCAGTTCACATGATGATCAAGAAGCAGAGAGAGAGAGAAAGACACCACTTACCAAATACAAATATATGCCCCAAAGCCAAGTCCCCAATGCCACACCTTCACCAGCCCCATCCCACCTGCCTTCGGTTACCACTCATTTAATCCCATTGGGTGATTAATTGACTGATTGGGTCAAGGCTCTTGTAATCCAATCATTTATTTTCTGAACCTTCTTGCATTGTCTCATACRTGAGCTTTTGGGAGACACCTCATGTCCAAACCATAACATTATGAGTACTTTTCCATGTGGACAACAGAACTTCATTTAAAATGTCCACAGAAGATGCTCTGAGAATGGGTTCAAAGGGTCTCACCTGAAAAGCCCAACTAAACTATAATGTTCATCCAACCCTGAACTTCCATTTCAGAGATAAACTGGCCTTCACTCAGAGTCGGGCTGCCAGTTACTTCTTCGATGGCTCTAGTTATGCTGTGGTGAGGGACATTACAAGGAGAGGAAAGTTTGGCCAGGTGACTCGCTTTGATATAGAAGTTCGAACACCAGCTGACAATGGCCTTGTGCTCCTGATGGTCAATGGAGTGAGTAAAATAACTTCTTTATTTCCTTTGCTCTCTGCAGTTCATSTTTCCAGGAACCTTCCCAGGTTGAATGTGCCATGCCACAAACCAAATTTCTAGTTAAAAAACGAAAATCATACATTTTTTTTCAGGGAAGTATGACAGCACACCTGGAATGTATTTCTCTAGGCTACACTTTTGAGTATATATTACATATGCCCATTTTCTGTATTTTAAAAATACAGAAAAATCAGCACCAAGATCTAAAATGTCACAGTGTATGCAAAAATTTCACAATGGTCTTCTAAAATTTCCAAATCATATATTTCAATTGGCTTTTTTAAAAAACCTTGACATATATATATATATATATATATATATATATATATGTGTGTGTGTGTGTGTGTATTTGTACCCTTTATAATGATATAGATGTACTATATACAGATGTCATGAAACATTTCAAAGTAGTAATTAAAAACAACCAACAAACTATATAAAGATAAAATATTAAATAAAAATGGGTAAAATATTTAAAATAACAATAAAATTAAATTAATATTTTTACTAATGATACCAAGACACTTTTGCTCTCACTAAAGATTATTTTAATAGCAACGTTAGTGAAAATGATATAATTAAGTATGCTAAATATTTTTTAGACTCTTGTTGAATTCTTTGTGATATAGTGATTCAAAAGTCAGTTTATTTCAATACTGTTTTATTGGCTGTCATAGCTAGATAAAATGCCTCACAAAAATAAAAAATGTGAGACACATATCACTAGCTGTGCCTACTAAATCATATGCAGTTTTTCAATCTCATGCACCAAATGACAAAGGTAATCTTTGAAATTTCGCTGGAACATTTTCTTTTTCCTTATGTCAGTTCTTGCTAGTTAATCATATATTGTATCATTTTTCAAAGTTTAATGAAAGAATTCAAAGCCATTGAAAATCTTCATCCAAAAGATTTTTAAACAGATTTGAAATTTCTCCACACCAATGTTTTAATAGTACAGACATGAGAGTATTTTATAGAAAGAAATGCTTAAGTTATTTTATCAACAAAATCATCAACAGAAAAATTATGAAACATCTTTTTTAAAAGCCTCTTTCCACATCATAACTTTCTTCATAAATAATACCCTTGCCTTGGTGTGAAAATCAAGTGTGTTTATTTTTTAAAAAAAATAACTAGGTTTCATACTACTGAGGGACATTTGTCATCACAAAGTTCAAATTTAGCATATTTCTTTTTATAGCAAAAAATATGTAACCCTTTAAACGTAGCAGTATTTTTAGTAATTTACAGGAAGTAATAAGCAAACATCTATGTGTCCCAAAATATTTTAAATATTCTATTATTTAAGTCTTATCACCCACAAATCCATGTAACTAGGAACAGATAAACTGCAATAAATTATAATAGGCTAGAAGTGGGTGAGAGGCCACCTTGAACCCTTCAAGTATGGAACTTTCCCTGAGAAGCCTTACAGACCACATGAATCCTATGTTAAGTCTGGTAAAATAAATGAAATGAGGGTCCAAGACGAATAATTCATGCATTAAATATCAAGGATTTGTTTATTTCTGAATTTTAATTTTTAAAATGAGTATAAATAGAAGTTGAAATGTTTTCTTCCTAAACCCCAATGGATTGTTTTCCACACTATCAGGAATACTCAAACTCCACTCAGKAGATCACTTTCCATAGAATAGCAATTTACCACAATACTTTACTTTCAAATTCACTGAATTCTTTTATGTATAAACTATTCTCTGAAACAARCAAAGCTGACCACTAAATTACTTGAGTGTTACAGAATTAATTTGGTTCTTCAACATCATGTGGTCCAGGTGTATAATAATTCCATATTTATTTACATAAATCCAGTGAGTCAAAATAATACAGAAATAGCCTTATTTGCYTTTTATCATTATTAATTGATATTTGGCAAGAAGGATTCTTTTCAACATAACTTGAAATTATTTTTCAGTATKACAAATTTTCATCTTAAAATGAATGCAGCTGCATCTTTTAACCTGTTACAGCTTTCAAAAGACAAGGCAGTTGAATAATCATAGTATATTTATATTCTACTATTTGGAAATTTTTTAAAGATCAATGATATAGACTTAAAGCTTCATTCATTAATTTTTAAAGTAGAATAAAAATGAAAGAAGATTGTTATTTTAAATTATGTGTAAATACTAACACTTTGTATATTAGCATGAGAAATAAATATCTAATAGGGAAGTAGGTATTATTTTTATTTCATAATAAGAATTTTATGAGACCCTTCAAATTCAATAATGTCAATACTAAAAAATTTAATGTTACATCTCAAACTCAGCTAAATCTGACTGCACTTTGATGATAACAGATGATCCCATCTTACAACTTTTTTCTCTCTACAGAGCATGTTTTTCAGCTTGGAAATGCGCAATGGTTACCTACATGTGTTCTATGACTTTGGATTCAGCACTGGTCCTGTGCATCTTGAAGACACATTGAAGAAAGCCCAAATTAATGATGCAAAATACCATGAGGTACTGTAGTTGTAGTTTGGGTGGCTTTAGTTTGGGTCTGGGTTTTTRTATCTAGAGCTATTGATCTAATCAAATGGTCAAATGAGACAGGTAAGACAGTAATTAAAGTGAAACTTCACATCTAAAGAGTGACTGAAGAGCCCTCATCTACTCAAACCTGGGGAAATATTTGCTTTTAAATGACTGGCTGGTCTTGTCATATCAATATTTCTAATAAAAAAGTCACCAAAATATTCCTTTTGATTATTTCATTGACCAAAAGACTCCTGGTTAATCTTAAATAACTTAATTACAATAGAGCACCTATAGAGTTCTATCCATTTGTTGAACATGCTAGAATATAGATACAAAGCCATTTTTTTACTTAAACTTTGAGCCCCACTAAATGTAAAAAGTAGTTAAATAAAAATAGAATTTCATTTTTAGCCAATTATCTAGATTTTAGAAAATACTAGTTTTCCTTAATGAGAACCTAAAAATAATGTTCTTGGGTCTTGAACCACAATTACTAAAATTACTAAAAATTACTAAAAATTACTAAAAATGTACTTCATCTATTTTTGTTAACAAGAACTTTAAATATACAATTTAATGATGCAGATATAAAACATAGTATATCTTTTAATTTGAACCAAAATTGAGGGGAGGACCAGAAGTTATATTTCCTTTTTTAGTTCAAAGTCCATAGTCTTCATAAGGATGGATCCCAATAAAAGAAGATTTTAACTATTTCTCTGACTAGKATTTTTGCCTATTCATTAGAATAGCTCAATGTGTCCCAAAAAAATGACACCTGTCAAAGTGCAGTCTCAAATCTAGAACACACTCACTTGAGAATGCAAATAGTCACCAGAGACTGGACAGTAGGGAAAATGAGGAAYTGTTCAATAGGTACAAAGTTTTAGTTGTGTTAGATGACTAAGTTCTAGAAATCTGCTAACATAGGACCTATAGTTAACAATAACTCAAAATTTGTTGTTGGGGGTATAGCTCAGTGGTAGAGCCCTTGCCTACCATGCATGAAACCCTGTACCAGTACCTCAAAAAAAAAATTAAGAAGGTAGACCTCATGTTAAGTGTGCTTCATACACATACACATATACACACAGAAAAATAAAATTAGGGGGAGCACAACTTTGGGAAGTGTTGGCTATGCTTATGATAATACTCTGATGGGTGTTCGCTTATGTGCAAAATTCACTGAATTAATTATGTGTGGTTCTTTGTTTATCAATTATACCTCAATAAAGCTGTTTTTGTTTTGTTTTGTTTTTTAAGAAGAAGAAGGCACCTGCTATAGTCCTTTCCCAAATCCCTTCAGAAGGGACAGGAGAAAATAAGTCTCATGGCAAAATTTTGCTTAGGTCCAATTCCTCTTCACATAGGCATCCTTCCAAAGGAAATGTGAACTGCTGATTATAAAAGTGTTTTTGTATCTGAGTAAGAAAGGAAAACCTATTACCTATTGTGTAAACAAACAAGCATAAGGACAAGGAAGACCAGCTGTTACAGCCAGCATAATTATAAAGAAGTCTTCAAAATGCTGATAATTAATTGATAAAGACTTCCTGTATTGTTTCTCCCAGATCTCAATCATTTACCACAATGACAAGAAAATGATTTTGGTAGTTGACAGACGACATGTCAAGAGCATGGACAATGAAAAGATGAAAATACCCTTTACAGATATATTCATTGGAGGGGCTCCCCCAGAAATATTACAATCCAGGTAATTTTTTCTTTAGTTAAATAGCTGTTTGTTTCTAATGATATACTGGTGTGTATTCAATATCCAGAAGAGATTCAGTAACAGGTGTAAGCATCCCTACCTGCTACCTTTAYATGCATTACTAAGTGCAGGCACACATTCATATACCTGCAGGTCCTTTGCAGCCCATTCTTATAACCTCCCTAAGTTAGCATCTCATAGATGTAACTTACAGGTTATTTAAATTATTGCATTGCTCTTAGAATATAATATAATGCAATATTTCTTTTGACAAGAGCAAAACATGTATATTGTGTAAAGATGAAAAAGCATTGTGTTCAATTATTTTTGGTTTAAACTTAATTGATTTTGAATGCTCTAATAGTATCTGCAATACTTATCTTCAGGTTATCCAAGGGGTTGTGAGTTATGTATACTGAAATATTATTCTAGTGTATTCAAAAATTCAACCTTACTGTAGTCAATTAATAGAATCAGAGACTATAAAACTGAGAGGGCACTATGTGTGTGTGTGTGTGTGTGTGTGTGTGTGTGTGTTACATAATCTGTATGTGATAATATAAATTAATGGATTTTGAAAACTATAAAGGTGTAAACAAGTTGTCTTGAGTCAAAATAAAACTCCTCAATAGGCAAAGATTAGACATTGCTGTGTTCTTGTCAAAGAAAGCTTGAGAACATGAATGATTATAAAGCCATTACAAATAACTATAAATAAACTCAAATTGCATAGCCTATGTGTTCAGGGTAATGTCACTATTATCACCATATCAGTGAAGATTCCTTTTCTTTTCCAGGACCCTAAGGGCACACCTTCCCTTAGATATCAATTTCAGGGGATGTATGAAGGGTTTCCAGTTCCAAAAGAAAGATTTCAATTTACTAGAGCAGACAGAAACCCTAGGAGTTGGTTATGGATGCCCAGAAGACTCTCTTGTAAGTAACATTCGGTCAAAAGCTTTGAAATAAATAGACCCAGAATCTCAGAAGCTGGAAAARCCCTTTTAGCTTTTCTGAGATCCTAGGTACATCTTGAGTTTCTTTCTGCCACCAGCAGAAAGAAGAACCATTAAGCTAGAAAGGCTGTGAAGCTCCTCTGTGACTTGTGCAGTTGCTTTAGGTTTTTGTGGGTGRGGCATCTGAAGCCCAGAAAGGCTGCTTGAGCATCACTAATCACTTAGGGTGAAGGAAAGTGAAGAAATTTCTAACAGAAACCACATCCCTTAAAAGAATACAGAGGGAACGCTGGCATGCCTGAATGCCACCAMAAACCATAAGTTAAACCCTGAACTACTATATAGAAAGTAGTGAGTAAGGCCCTTTCTATATGAGAAATTGACATAATAAGCATTTACAATTATAAATTATTATATTCACTTTTGTTGGCACACAGATATCTCGTAGAGCATATTTCAATGGACAGAGTTTCATTGCTTCAGTTCAGAAAATATCTTTCTTTGATGGCTTTGAAGGAGGTTTTAATTTCCGAACATTACAACCAAATGGATTACTGTTCTATCATACTTCGGGGGTAAGTATTTGTTGTTCCCTTAGGAAACTTCTTTGTGATAAGTGTTTTAACTATGAATGAATTTTTATTAAAAGTGAGTTTCTATTCAGATTTTGATTTACACAGACACATGCAGAATGTCACATTTCAGACACTGTAAAATATTATGTGTTTTGTACATCAGGAGTTCTTAACCTGAGATTCACAGACCCATTGCTTAGAAGAGAATTTAAGGAGTCTGTGAACATGGATATGGATGGTAAAAAAAATATATCTTTATTTTCTGTAGCTAAAATTTATCATTCTTCAAATATAAACATGGCAGTAAGCCACAATAGTGTTAGCAGTACCTGTGACTTTGTCATGAAAAGAAATCACAAATGATTTTATTTACATTACAATTGTGATAGATATTTGCAAATATAATTTTTGTTCATGGCTACTTCCAATTTTAGAAGTAATTAGGTCTTCTACTAGATCCTATTATTTAATGCCTTAATCAAGGAGTGTGTACATATATATGATACCATAACAGATCTATTGCTTTAAAATTTTGAATACTATTTAAATATAGTTGRTTTCCTTTCTTCCTGAATAGTCTGTCTTTAAAACATTATTTTATGAAGAACTCCATATGTATAACCAAATTCCCAAAAGCATTCATGRCTCAAAAAGAAAATCGTAAGAACCTCTCTATATTATGAAGAAACAYATCTGTGATTTAATCTTAATAGAAAAGAACATATATACTTCGATGTTCTTGAATTTTTCTTAATATGTTTGAGCTTAGCTTATAAACATGTTATTTCAAGAATAAAACTAAAATATGTATAGGTTTGGTGACCCTAAGATCCAACTGATGWATCTCAGAGTGCTGTCACACTAGTATATATACTAATGCTCCCGATCAGAATTTTTGAAAGCAACTTTATATCCATCACATTCACATTCAATTTAATTTAAGTAGGTAGCATCTGTGAGAATTTTTCCAAAGTATTTTGTTGGACTTCTGTGCCCAAAGCTGCCTCGGATTACCCTGATTAGTTAAAAAGCAGGGTTTTTAATTCACAAAAAGTAGTTTGTTTTGAATAGAACTCAACTCAAGGAAACTGTGCACTGAGGGTTGACAGAAGTTGGTGCCCATATAAGGAAAGAGAAGCAAGATTATTATCTGCCAATATTTTAAGACAAGCAATAAGCAAATTCATAAAAAGGAGTAACTTCTGCTTTTTGAAATTTCTCTTCTGCCTCTATGTTAAAAAAAAGTGAAACATTTAAAAAGCCAAACTAATAACTTAACTCTTACCTAGTCTTCTAGCTACATCCCCAAGGAGATTCAAATATTGCCTTTTTGAAAGGAATTAAATGAGACTGATGATAGAGTAGAAATGACTGAGTTAGGAAGATGACTAGGACAACTCTCAGAATAACAAAATCACCAACATTTCAGCTCAAAATGTAGAAGTATCTTTTTTCCATTGAGACATGTCTAATTTTGTAAGCAACACCAATACAAGCAAAAGTGGGGTTTTTGTTATTATTCATTGAAATTGCTGGGCAAGAAATTGCCTATTCACTGTGTATTCCTTTAAGCAGTACTCTTAAATAAATATTTAAACTGTGCCCAATTTTTAGGTCCCTGCACTCCCTACTTAAAACCTGTGCTTGCATTTCAGTCAGATGTGTTTTCCATTTCGCTGGATAATGGTACTGTCACCATGAATGTCAAGGGCATCAAGGTTCAGTCGGCAAATACGCAGTACAATGATGGGCTGTCCCACTTCATCATAACCTCTGTCTCACCCGGAAGGTATAGCTCCTCACCTAATGTTCTTCCCACCATGTGTCTTTATTTGTAAGACATGATTCTGTCAAATGCCACTGTGAATAATAGATTATTCTATTGCTTTTCTACTGTTTAAAAAAATGTGAAAGGAACAGATTTGTGTTATTTTTCTTTTTTTAAAAAAAATGCTATTACTTTTTAAGACATGCCAAATAAATCATCATCAAGTTACTTAAAGGATTTTTCCCAATAAAATGAACAGTTACAATCTTCTTGAGGGCAGTGCCTACTCACGCTATGTACTGAATGGATTGTAATGTGTTGTTGCACATAGAAGGAACTCAGCAAATACTGGTCTTGTTTAATAAGGATGGTGGAATGTGATAGACATCATTATCCAAAGTACATGTATGAATTGGATGTCAACATACTTTATATACAAACAGAGTTATGAAAAATTGTGGTATATATGTGTAATAAGAATTGTAATGTATTCCACTGTCAATTTTTAAATCAATTAAAAAAACAAGAGAAAAAAATAAATTTTAAACTGACCAATTAAGGATGCTACATTTGTGGCCACATTTTAAAAGTTCTGGCTTTGCATTAAATTGCATGATCCTGTATTTTCTTTTCCATAATAAGAAAATAGGAAATAAACTTCTGTTGTAGTTTGATGCTCATCTATGTCCACTTCTGGTTTTTGATGTCCACCCATCAAAGAAAATATTAGTAGGCATTTTCTAGACTCCATTTCCAATAAAGACAAAACCACCCAATGTACTTTGCAATCAAAATGATCTCCCACAACTGTGATTAAGTGATCACCGTGAGGCGTATGTGTGTTTTTTTTTTCTCCACCCAAGAAATAATACAAATGATTAGTTGTTTGACCTTCTTGCTCTAGGAGTTTAAATTCCAATGGTTTTGGGGGCAGGGGTTGCATATAGAACTATTCAACTATTTTATCCTGGGCCTCATGAAGAACCTGGAAACTCTTTGTTTTTTCATTAATCAGATGTTACATTTCAGTTCCATAAGAAAACCTGCTTATTTAACTAGAGAGAAACTCAAGGTAAAATGGTAACTGCTCAGTATGTAAAAAAGCTTTTTATTTTGCAGATACGAACTCATAGTAGATAAAAACAGAAATGTAAATAATAATTCTTCCAATGGGAAAGCAGAACAAATTCAAGAAGGTGAAAAGAAGTTTTACTTCGGTGGCTCACCCATCAGTCCCCAGTATGCTAACTTCACTGGCTGTATAAGTAATGCCTACTTTACCAGGTATAATATTTTTATTACCTAGTTTTATTCAAGCCAAAGAGAGTGAGTTTCTTTTATGGTTAACAAGTAACTTAATAAAAATAGGAGCAGCTCAGAGGGCTTAGATACTATATCTTTTGCTATGATATAGGATTGGTTTATATGGCATGAACTATTTCATGGACTCCAAAAACAGCACACTCTGTGTAGCTTTCCAACAAACCAGCTCTAAAATAAAGCAAGCCTTGAGAAACTAAAAAAAAATTATTACCAATAAATCTATACAGTTGATTTTAAAAGATCAAAATAGTAGTGAAAATATTTACATAATTAAAGTTGAGAAGTGTGAAATTGATCAGAGGCACTAGATGGCAGTAATTAAAAGCTCATATGTTTTTGAACAAATGACATACTTGGATTTGTGTGTAGGGTTTTTTTCCCCCTATTATATTTGTATTACTGTGGCTAAGTAAACCTTCATTTCTGTACCTACAAGATGCAGATAGTAATAGTACTTATTTGGTAGACTTGTTCTACAGAATAAATGAAATAATACACATAAAGCACCATGCACAGCACCTATTACACAACAGCCTATAAATATTAGATGTAATTATTTTGCACTTATTATTAATGGTGTACTATAGAGTAATATGCCAAAATCTTTGTTCAAAGTTTAATAAAGTCTTGATTTAATGCATGACTTTTTAAAAAGCCATTAATCTTAACAAAGACAATAAAAGTTCCTCAAGTGCAAAAACAAGCAAGGGAGACTTTAGTGCAGACAAAGAAACACAGAAGTAGACCCAGTTGTCCAGAGTGTGATGAGGGAAATAACGTTCATTTGTCAAAAAGTGTGGTGCCAGGTACATGGTTGATAATTAATTGCTCAAATGATAATTTCAAGGATTCTTGTTAAGATAGTGACAGGTAAGGACCCATCCCACATGCAAAAAAAAAAAATTTTTTGAATTGTCAGAGTTCTTTGACTGTCATAGCTTTCATCATATAATTCTGAACAATGTTTTTAAAGTTATTTTTTCCTCCCTTACAAATACAGGTTGGATAGAGATGTGGAGGTTGAAGATTTCCAGCGGTATTCTGAAAAGGTCCACACTTCTCTTTATGAGTGTCCCATTGAGTCTTCACCATTGTTTCTACTTCACAAAAAAGGAAAAAATTCCTCAAAGCCTAAAACAAGCCAGAATAAGAAGGTAAAAGATACTGCTGTGCAGATTTTCCACCTGCCCTCATATTCCATGCATGCAACTCTAGACATGATTGCCTTATAGAATTTACTCTAATTTGCAACTATGTACATATGAAAGATAGAATTCTTGCAGTATCAGATATTCCAGTTTACTAGCTTTGTCGCCTCCATTCTTGTTCTCAAAGAAACATGTCCAATCACCTGTTTACTCTTACCTCCAACTACTTTTCAATGAAATGGTTAAAATTGTTCTGTTATTAATTTGCGTAAATCATATTTATTGTTTAGTACTACTATTCTCTAGTATCATTTGCTTTCATATAATTATCTCAAACTTTGTTACAATCATGGAAATTATTAAAGTCTGTGATTTTTACCCTGTTTCCCCTCCTTCTTGACATTTACTTCAACCATTTATGTGCAAGTGATCTATGACATAATCCAGRCCTGTTCCCTCATCAAAATCTTAAGTTTTAAAATTCTATTCTCTGATTACTATTCTTTCTCATTCATTTAGTATGTGTGTTATTTACCTTCATTACAAATGAAATCCTAATCCCTTCTCATTCTTCCAGTAATGGTCTAATTTTAACATTGCACTCAGRTGTCAAGGCTCCCATGCTGGCCCAAGCCATTATTATCTCTCATCTGAATTACTGTCATAGTCTTGGAATAGATTTCCTCACTTCTGCATTGTTTCCTTAGGGTCTACTCTCAACATGACACCCAAACCCTTATAACTATAAACCATATCATGTCACTCCTCTGAATTCAGAGTAAAAGCCCAAGTTCCTGCGATTCATAAGAGGCCCAGTGTGATCCATACCCCTTTCCCTCTCTGAGTCCCTCTCCTCCCACTTGCCCACCTCATTCACTCTTCTGCCCACACCAGCATTTTTACTATTACTAAAGTAGGCCACCTGCACTTCCACCTTAGGATCTTTATTCAAGGTTTCTTTCTACCTAGACCATTCTTCCTCCAACTTCTTGGATCACTTAACTCTTGACCACCTATTTATTACCACAGCAGGCCTCCTGCCTCCTACCAGCACTACTGATATCCTTTGCCCTTTTCTATTTGTTCTTTTTTCCTTAGTGAAGAATATAGCTACCACACTTAATGTRGCTACGTGAAGCTTGCTAGATGTAGTTTTAATAGCTACTAAGAAAAACGTGTGGCCTCTGGTTTAATTTTTTTCAAGGATTAAAGGATTGGTATTATAATAATTTATTTTTGCAATCATTATCTAATATTCCATTTTATGCATTGTTATAATTCATTTAACCACTAATAGGCTTTCAGCTGTTTCCAGTTCCCTACTTTTATAGGTGAACATTCTTAGACATAAATCCTTGAGTATACTGCTGAATAAGTATTTAGGATAGATTCCAGGAGGTAGAATTACTAGATCTAGCAAATTACTTTCCAAAAAGCTAACACCGATTTGTTATTCCCCATGGATACTTGAGAATATATGTCTTACCAACTATGTTCTAGACTTACATTTTTTCATAGTTTGTATGTTTCAAATTTAATTGGGGAAACAATTTCTCATTTAGTTTGTAATGTAATAATGAGTATTTTATGTAGTGCAATGGACGTCCTTAAGGAGTATCTAGCCAGCTAGTGTCTTCTCCAAGAACTGATTCTTTACCCACAGGGTAAGTCCTATCACCTCCCTGGATTTAGATGATTGAACCAGTGGAGATCATGTGAACTAAGCTGGACTTGAGATTCTGTTCCTTGGAATCTTAGAACCTAGAGAGCCTAGCTTGAGCTGGTGATTGAATAGAAAGCCCTGAGAACTGTATGTTAATCATGCACAGATAAAGCAAGCAGTTTTCTAGAAAGAATGAGAAGTTGTCCTGCTGAGAAAGAATAATGAAAGCAAACACTCTGAGAGACAAAGCTGATATAACAGAAACCTCCAAAAAAGGAATGCTCTGCTTTCCAATTCTTGCTTCTGGCCCCCGGTGGGATCCTGCTATATCTGATCTTGGTTTATATAAGATAGCACCATATCCCTCTTTTTCTTCAATAGCTCAACTAGCTTAGCTAGTATCTCACACACAAACCTCTCCCCCACCAAAAAAAAAAAAAAAAAAATCTTGCTAAACTGAACTTGGTACAAGTAGGATGATATCTAACAGGCCCTTGGAGAAAAAAAATTATTCTGGTTAAGTAAATGTCATTGGGATTTACTAATAACCCCCACACATATAACTCTTAAATATAATCTTTGTATTTGAAGTAATCAGTTATAACTTGTCTTTGTCTTTTTGATCTGTATTAAGAGAATGGAGGCACAAAAGTAACAAGTATCTGGTTACCATATAGCAAGACACCAGAGTTTACTCATTTTTGCTACAGACAAAAAACAGATWCTACTTGGTCTATGCAGTCCCACACTGAGGCAGAGTAAGGAAAGCTAGTCAGTTAAGACACCGTGGTCCACAGAACCCCATGCTTTGCTGAGCCCCTGGGATCTAATTCACTGTTGCACTCTCACCAAGGGTAAGTGAATGCACTAATTGAGAAAGCGTGAGATCTTCTCTACCAAGACAGAGAAAATAGAGAAGACTCAGAGTTGGGGGAAGTCCACAATCCCTATCAAACCCATACTCTTACCCCTACCCTCCAGCCCCTGTGTAAAACATGTCAACGCTGGGCCCCTCAATGAAACAAAGGTGGACATATTTCCCATTAATATATTCTACTAGTATTGGAAAACAGCATAGGGTATGGAAAAAATTTCTCAAGATATATAGAGGGGGGAAAAGTCTACCTGTAGGCCCACTCTAGCTCATTCTGCAATTTATGGCTTGAAACTATGGCTATTCCATGTAGGTGAGGCCTGAACCAAAAACTATTGATAACTGGGTATATTTCTTCCATCCAAGAGAGAAACCTTGCTTTTGTAGCAGCAAGTCAGTTTCTGGGTTCTGATGGCTATGTTCGGAAGGGAAGAGGAGAAAGTGGGAACCAAATGGGCTTTTCTTTAGGATGTGTGTATCTATGAGGCCTATCTCCCTTTCTCCAACCTAACCACCACTGCAGAACCCAACTGGAGGAACTATTGTTCCAGGGTAAAGTCACTGGTACARCTATCTGCCCTTTAACTAACCTGCCACCATACCAAAATTTTGAGAATAATTCTGGGATTTGGCTGGAGCACTGAATTTTTTGGAGGTTTTAACTTTTTCTCAWATGAGATTAGGCATTTCATTATCACTCTGTTCCAATCTGCATAATCTGCATTACAGATTCCAGAAATTTCACATTACTTTGTTCTGCTGGTAAAAACCCTCTGAGATTTCCAGAACAGCTGTGGATTTATTTTTATGTGAATAGTTCTTCAAACATTTCAATGGGAATTAGGGATGGGGGGATGTGCATAAAATTGCCTTTTCTCATCTAACCCTGTCTCTCCTCCTGTTTCTTGCTGTGTTCTCCAGTCCTCCCCATGACAAACATTCCCTCTCCTATCAGGCCAGCCTTTGCTGCAAGCCATCTTCCTGAGTGGGTCACATCTGGCCATTCCCTGCTTTTAAAACCTGTATGCCTCCTTATCACCTAAAAAACAAAACTCAACTCCTAGCACCTAATATCCTTTATATCTGGCACCAACTTGTTTTCCAATTGCTAATTATCTATCTTTCTCCAAATTGATTTTCAGTTCTTGAAAAAACAAGGATCATTTCTCACTTTTATGTTTCCCACTGCGTACCACCCATGGAAGACATGCCAAAACAATGGTTCTTTCCTCTCCACTTTAACCACTRATAATAGATGGTTGCTTGAATAGGTGAATAAATTATTAAATGATTGAGTTTATTTACATTTACTTTTATTTTGCTTCAGAAATTAAGACTAATCATTAAATATTGGCCTATAGTTTTAAAACTTTAAATTTTAACATCAAAAGTACAATTTGAAAAGCACAATATAATGTTTAGGTTGTTCTGTATTTATTCTGTCACAGATTTTGCCACATATCCTATCACCAAAACTATTCTTAGGTATTTTAAAGATGTTGCTAAGTATCTTAACTTTTTACATAGCATGTGTAAATAATAATAATGTGTGTTAAGGTGATATTGTTGCCTRCATGAGGGTTTTAGTTGATTTTCTCAACGTTATTTTATTGCCACTTTTCCATTTTCACTATTACTTGGGATGTGCACTTAATTTAAATTATAGTTATCTCTATAGCTTCAATTTATCTCTGCTTTACTGTCACAAACTCATGTGGGTTCGTTAACATGGTATGTTTTTGTTGTTACTGCTGCAGCTACTGCCACCATTTACGTATGGTGTAGGGGGAGAGAAGAGAGGTGCCTTCTATTTCATGAATGAAAAATACATAAAAAAATGCCTACTTTATTATTTGATTATTGATATTAATGGTGAGGACATCACAAATTAATTTTTGCTGCTAGTGTATCACTTTTATACCTTAATTTGGTTTATTCTCTACTTTTATAGGGAGAAAAAAGTAAGGATGCACCTTCATGGGATCCTGCTGGCCTGAAGTTCATAGAGCAGAATGTTCCCAGAGACTCTCTTTGTCACCTTTCCAATCGCCCTAAAGCAATAGAGCATGCCTATCAATATGGAGGGACAGCCAACAGCCGCCAAGAGTTTGAACATTTAAAAGGAGATTTTGGTGAAAAGTAAAGTAACATTCTATGCTTCCAGAAACTTAACCTCACGCTCCATCTTTGTTTGCCATATATCAACTTTTTTCCTATGATCTTTCCTTTCTGAGTCACTTTAATCTGATTATCATCAACGGGTGTTCTAAATAGTATAATTCATGCTTTCTAAGAAATTATGTTCTCTGTGACTATTTTCCCCAAATGAAAGATACATAAACAGCATTYTCCCAGGAGTTTGCAATGTTTGATCAAAAAGAAATGATAATCAAGGACAGGAAAAGGGGGCAAGTTTCAGATGACTCATAATTTAACCTTGGTATAATCCTCACTACCCGACACAAATTGCCTTCAGATTGTAAATGGGAATGCACCTGAATTTCTAGGTTAATTGGGAAAGACACTGAAAATACAAATACATGTATATGTCCATGGCCCTCCAGCTGTCTCAAACCCATCACTTCTTCACAGCATTCCAAAAGCCTCCAACTATTTACTATTATTGAAAAACAATTTTTATAGCTTTAGTACACAAATATTCTTATGTCATCTACTTCTATCAGTTATACCAGGGAATGCATCTAATAATAAAACTCTAAATCCTTCTAATTTGCTACTTACCTAATAGAAAGAATCAGTATTTTGTATTCTTCAGGAAGAATTTAGAGTTAATGAAACTAGAAGTTATAATTAAAGTTATAAAGTTTATTTTATTTGTAAAAGAACAACTGATAAATATATCTTATACAAACTTGGAACTAAACTTCTAGAAAATTTTCTTTATATATACATTTCTACACAATGGGTTGGCTGCTTTTAAGCATGATATACACTGATTCATTTTTACTTGGAAAATTTTCAATATGTAATTTGGATAGTACACAAATAATATTATTTCTATAAAAATTTCTACATGTATATGATAATCACTAGTATTTTTCCATACAGATAACCTTCTTTAACATAGAATTTTTACTAAGTTGTAACCATATTGTCAGAGAAAGACACAATAAGATCCTTAACTAAGACAACATTTCCATATGTGGAAATGTATCACTACTATATAATGGAGTAGGAAGAATTTACATTTTTGAACTAACCACACTTACCCATATTCATTAGTAAAACTAACAGCAGTAATGCTGCTTGGGCTAGATAGAATGGCTGCTTATTTATTCTTCCTTATGCTACATTACTTTTAGAAGTGAAAGATTATCCATAGTCTCATTTTACAAATGGTAAGCTTTTTCTTTTCACTTACCAGATCTCAGTTTTCCATAAGTCTGAAAACTCGTTCTTCCCACGGTATGATTTTCTATGTCTCTGATCAAGAAGAGAATGACTTCATGACTCTATTCTTGGCCCATGGTCGCTTGGTTTTCATGTTTAATGTTGGCCACAAGAAACTGAAGATTAGAAGCCAGGAGAAATACAATGATGGATTATGGCATGATGTAAGTTGAAGGCAGAGAATAGCATTAATGGCAAATATACACCACTGTCTGAAAGATTGACTCTGATACTCCACCATTGGTCTCTAGAAATAACCTTTTTAAAATTCTGCTGCTTTACACTCAGAGTTTAATTTCAAAAATGTATTAATTCCTTATAAAATTCTTAAATGTACTTTTTAAAGACAGGCAAAGGATGAGTATAATTATTTTAACCAAAGACTCAGTAGCCAATATAAATGGAAGCTTGGTTTCTAATAATTTTTTACTTGAGTTTTTCCCACTGCCTAGAGGTTTCTAATTTCAACAATTATTATTGAATGTCTTTTATAGGCTTTTATAGCTGTGGAAGATACTAAGTGAGTAAATCTGTAAGTCAAGCCACAGAGGGGGAACAAGATGCATTACATTTAGTTACAATAACTTTTAGAGAAGGAGAGACCATGTGAGCTGGTTAACTGGAAAGAGCTTCACATAGATCTCTACTAAATATAATCAATTTTGAGAAATTAAGCCTGTAGCTTTAAATCATTCTATCTAGGGCTCAGAAAATATACAGATAACTTCCTCTAACACATGAAGTGCTGAAGCCAAGGTGAGCCAGGAAAATACACCCATGTATATATAAAGCAAGGACTGGGGACAATCCCCAATAAAGACATATGATGTAAAACAAAACAGAATAAAATAAAGGATGAAGTTTCTGACATTCCAAAAACTAGATAGCCAGAAGTCTACTAAACAGAGGAAAAGATAAAACTCCTGACCTTCAGAGAAAWGACCACCTTTTTATGAACTTTCTGCAGATTTCCCATGGTGTTTCAACTTCAGAGTTGGGAGCAGATATAGAACAGCCTTTTCCTCCATCTTGGGATTTACCTAAGATATGCTATTTTCTTTCTCTCTATCCAGGTGATATTTATTCGGGAAAAGAGCAGTGGTCGACTAATCATTGATGGTCTCCGAGTCCTAGAAGAAAGTCTTCCTCCTTCTGGAGCTGCCTGGAAAATCAAAGGTCCCATGTATTTGGGAGGAGTGGCTCCTGGAAGGGCTGTAAAGAACGTCCAGGTAAGCCAWATGGAGCTAAGCCAAGCCATTGACCTTTAGGACTGGAAGGTCACTTCATCCAGGCCCCCATTCCACACACAAGGAAACTAGCATAGTTTTTTCCTAAAATTGTAGTTTTGCTGAAGTTGGAACTTCAAAGTGAGTATTGTCCCACAGGCAGTCTGTCCACCTCAGGACAATACAAAGTCGGGAGTGACCTCTTGATTTTAAAATAGAGGTGAGATGAAAAGTTCCAGAGGTACAAATTATCATGAAAATCACATCTTATGGAGAATCTTATTTGTTTAGCAAATACCTATATTTTTAATATAAAGAGATACCAAAACCAGAAAGCAAGTCATTCCATTATTGTAATATTCCATTRTATTATTTTAAAAATGTTTCAGGACATTATGTAAACTATAATCTTATTATAGTTTATGTAAACTATAATTTTATTTCTTAACACACATTCACATATGGAATTTGTAAATGTGTAAGGAATATGGGTACCCAGAAAAGAAGTGAGAAAATAAGCATTATTTTTAGAGTTTAAAAATCAAAAATATTGCATCTCTAAAAAGTTGCTTAGCAATAAAAGGACTACATTGAAGAACTAAACTTTAGTTAACATAAATTTGTAAAATGTAAAATTTTTCATAATTCCTATAAACTGATGTTATCAAATACAAAATTCCAGTCTCGAAAAACTAGTTAAAAAGCAACTCCCCAGAAAATTATTAATTGTTCAGATAGTTAAAATAATTAAGGAATTACTTGGTTTCTCATGAGTGTTGAGAAAATGGATTTTAAAAAATGTCTTCTTCTTTCAGATTAACTCAGTCTACAGTTTCAGTGGCTGTCTTAGCAATCTCCAGCTCAATGGGGCCTCCATCACATCTGCTTCCCAGACATTTAGTGTGACCCCTTGTTTTGAAGGTCCAATGGAAACAGGAACTTATTTTTCAACAGAAGGAGGATATGTTGTTCTAGGTAACACGAATGCTGTGACTTGAATGTGGTTTACCTTCACTTAAACTCATGTTAATGCTTGATCTCCAATGGAACAGTGTTGAGAGATGTTGGGACCTTTAAGAGATGGTTAGGTTGTTAAGAAAGATTAACGCTTTTCAGCCAGGCACAGTGATGCACACCTGTAATCCCAGCAGCTCAGGAKGCTGAGGCAGGAGAATGGCAAGTTCAAAGCCAGCTTCAGCAATGTTGAGGTGCTAAGCCACTCAGTGAGACCCTGTCTTTAAATAAAATACAAAATAGGGCTGAGGATATKGCTCAGTAGCCAAGTACCCTTGAGTTTAATCCCCAGTACACACCCGCCACCAAAAAAAAAAAAAAAGATTAATGCTTTTCTCATGGGGTGAGTTCTCACCCTTCAGGCACTGAATTGGTTATGGCCAGTGGTTTGTTAGACCGTCTAGCACCTCCCCTCCCTCACTCTCACCCTCTTGTACGCATATCCTTTCTACACAAGCATGCTTGCTATTGCCTTTCCATTTCCACTATGTTCTGGAACCTTCCAGTCCCCAGAACTCTGAGTCAAATAAATCCCTTTTCTTTATAAATCATTCCATCTTAGGTATTCTGTTATAGCAACAGAAAACTTGAAAACATGAGTCATGGAATGCTTTTTCCTGGAGGGAACATCAGGCTCAGAGTAAACATCAGGCTCAGAGTAAAAACTTAATGTGCCAAACTTGGGGCTGGAGATTAGACTAGACTCATTAGTAGAGCACTTGCCTAGCACCACAAGACACAAGGTTCAATCCCTAGCACTGGCAAAAAAAATTAAAAACTAAAATAAGGCAAAACTCCTCCAAAAAATAACCTCTTTTTCCAAGAACCACCATGGTTCCCTTCCACTACGCTAAATCAAATCTGCAATTCCTACCTGTTGCTCTACCTTCCCCAGGTTCTTCAGTCCTGCAATCTTCTCAAAGCTGGTCATCTTGACATCTTTAGAATTTCCTGTGCTGTTCCATGACCTGATCTGTATTGGCTCTTGGTTACCTTGCTCCTGAAAGTCTTCCCCTACTCCCTCTTAACATGAACCATTGTTCCCACTAAATAAAATTCCACTTTCTCCCTCTGCCCTGCAACACTAGTAGATGACACTATCCTTCAGATATCTTATTTCTGGGTTTTTATTCTCCTCAGTCATTACTCTCTTGCTTATTCATTCAACAGTTTTTATTGTGTGCCCCCTGTATGGAAGTTGCCTTGCCAGAGGATGGAATATAATTGTTTTCACAATAAATAAAATCATAAACATTCTATATAACAATCACTGAGTGTGAGGAAGATAACAGAGTAGGTGCTGGGAATGAGGATAGAAGAAGATATAAAAGCACATGTCTCCTATTTCAAGGCACTCAGGTACTCTGTACATCCCCTGAATAAAGAGTATGCAGCAAGTATGCTTTCTTAGACTACCACAATGTTCAAGAGAATAACCAGCATTTATCTTTCCTCTCCTTGTCTGGCTCCTAAGTTTTCTTTCCTTCCCTGTCCCACCTGCTTTACTCCTACTAAAGTACACATTTCTTAGCCCTTCCCTGAATTTCAGTGAGAAATCTAAAGGTGTMGACAGCTTGAAATTCATAGCCAAATGCACAATTTATGTTCTTTTCCATGAACATTAACAGCTGGAACATTATTAAAGTGATTTATAAAGAGACACATCAAGCAGACACTATTAAGATGCCCATGTGTTCAGTGAGCCTCTTGGAGTGAACACAGCTATTCTTAATAAAAATTGTTTGGGTTCATCATAATAACAGCTCCTAAATACTTTTGCTGCTCTCATTCTCTCCTCTGAAATGCTTTGCAGCACTGGCACAAGTTAGTTCTTTAAGAATTCTTTCAAAACACAGATCTGGTCAAGTCATCTCCCTTGATAAGTGACCACAAAATAAAAACAAACTTCCATCTTTGAGCATTGGAGCTCTTCCAGGTGTGGATCCCCACTCACCATGCCTGCTTCTGCCCTTACAGGGACTATCCAGCCACCCTGGGCTTCACTATGCTGTCCACATGTTCCATCCTCTGTAGCTGGGTCCAAGCTCCCTCCTCTGCCCAGATTGTCCTGTCCTCCTTCTCACTCCTGAAATAGTAAATGGTGCTGCTAGTTGGAATTCATTTCTCTTCCCCTGAACTTCCATAGCACATAGAGTATTTTTAGTGTGCTGGCCCCACCTCCATGCCCCACAAGAGTGATATGTTATTTATATTAGTCCCCTGAGTTTTATGTGGTGTTGGAAAATAGCCTTTTCTTCTTACCTGTTGAGAAATGCAATGAATTTTTGAAACTAGATGTAAAAATATATAATTATAAAATCATGCCATAGTTACAAATTTTATTTTGCTGTTCTTAAGGCTTATAGTATTTCTCTCCACAGATGAGTCTTTCAACATTGGATTGAAGTTTGAAATTGCATTTGAAGTTCGTCCTAGAAGCAACTCTGGAACGCTTGTCCATGGCCACAGTGTCAATGGGGAGTACCTAAATGTCCACATGAAAAATGGGCAGGTAACATCTTTTTGAAAAATTTAACAGTCTGTCTCATTTAACCTTGCATTCTAATCTAAAGCAGATTTTTTTCACATACTTATTTTATCTTATCAATCAATAAAAACCAGAAAGCTGTAACATGAAATTTAAATGTAGGAAACATTAGAATTCACATTGATATGTTGGGATTCATCTGATTAGAACAATGTCAGGAAATTATGGCAAAGGTTTCAGGAAAAAAAGATCACCAATCACAGCACAGAGTTTTAACCAATGAATTGTCATTTTTTTTTCAGCAAATTAAAGCAAAAAAAACCCAATTATCAAAATTAACAACACAAAAACATCTATCTTCCTGAATATTTATAAATGTTTATCAGATAATATACATCAAAGATACATGTATATATATCTAGACATATGTATTATTCTGTTACTATAAATTTTTAATTGTTACAATTAAACTCCACTTTCACCCTTAAATACCACTTAAAACACTACTAAAATACTACTTATGAAGGTATTCAAATAAATATTAAGGAAAAGATATATTTATATTATGCCTCTCGAACTTAATGTAACTGATTTTTATTTGGATTCTAGTATATTTTATTAAACCATATAAAAATAGAATTTCTCCAGATATGGTATTTACTACATGTCAGGGATTATTCAAGATGCTTTATATGGATTTACCCATTTAATCCTCCCAATATCTCTAGGCTGTAGGTAATATTATCACTCTTATTTTACAAAGAGAAAACCGATGCAGACAGTAAGTTAGATGGGAGTCAGGCAGTCTGGCTTCAAGGCCCATGATCTTCAACAATATTTTGAACTTCTTTGTATAACACATTCTATCTTGAGAAATTAAAGGAATTTATTCAATTGCATTTCCTGTCATTCCTCTCTTCCCATCTTTTCTCCCTTGTGATTATTTTGCTGCCTCTCCATGGAGCACTCCCAGTTTAAACTATTTCTATTGCCTACCAAAGAGTGACCCCTTGTGTTCAAATTGCAAAGTTACTCATATGTGGATATTTGTTAAGAGYATTGTTTCCTTGGGTGGATTTTTGTTAAAGTATTGCTTCAAGAAATTCAGTTTTACAATGACAAGGAGAAATTAAACTAAATTATATAAGTTACCTCTCTTTTGTAGGTCATAGTGAAAGTCAACAATGGCATCAGAGACTTTTCTACCTCAGTGACACCTAAGCAGAGTCTCTGTGATGGCAGATGGCACAGAATAACAGGTGAGAAAATATAGGTGTCCTGGGTTTCCTATACAAAGATGAGCCTGCACACCCACCTGAGAAATGATGGCCTGGCAGAATTTATGTGATATGCATGATGACAACGGATGATAATCTAAACGTGACCAAGAGAAGTGTTATTATATTAAAATGTGTATATTGAATACACATGTGATTTGAAATATAAATGCTGCCAAAATAGTGGAGTTGTTTACATAATGAGTAACTTATGAAGCAAAAAAGTAGCACAAGAGTATCCTAAATATTTTCCCTTTTGAAGGAAAATGTTAGTGATTGCTCAGTTAGACATTGTTAGACTTAATATATTGACATCTGATATAGGAGAAAGTGTAGGGTTTTATTCTGGAATAAATAAAAGTCATTGTTGTGATAAATTATTCTCTTCATGTGAAAATTAATCACTCTAGTTCCATTTATGACCAGTCTTTGYCCAATATTTCACTGTATTTCAGTTATTAGAGATTCAAATGTGGTTCAGCTGGATGTTGACTCTGAAGTGAACCATGTGGTTGGACCCCTGAATCCAAAACCAGTTGATCACAGGGAGCCTGTGTTTGTTGGAGGTGTTCCAGGTAAGCATTGTTTAAAACAAATAAGTTTCCAAATCAAAAAATAGTAAGTTCTTATGATTTTCATTATGATATTAAGAAGTAAGCCATGTGTTTTCATAATTCACCTAATAACTCAAAGGATTTTATGTCCTCTAATAGGAAAAGCAAACAGAAAATTGTGATTTCTTATCCAAGAAGCACATAAGAACTGGTGTTATAGCCAACAGATATTACTCACATCTTGATGTATTTGCTTATTTTTTGTCTCCTTTTACATATCCTATCTATACACAAACACACATTGAACCATTCTATTTTATCCCTAACACCAAAAAAAAAAAAGCTCTCATTTTCTAATACTGCTCTAAGATCTGAAAACCGTGAGGATTAAAATTTTGCTATTAATTGTTCCCCTTCTATAAAAGGAAAAAATGTGAAGTACCCCACCCCACCCCATCCAAGATTAGTCTAAATTGTGAAAACAGCTGCAGACCATAAGTTATGTTGTTCTTGTTCCCTAGGAGAGGTTCCCAGCTGCAATTCTATAAACATCATCATTAGCATCACCTTGTCTTCTGCCAAGAATGGCATATAATACAGGACAGTGATAAAAGGATACTTATACCACTCCCCCCTACACAATCGTTTTAAACCTCTAGAGCAGGGACCATATCCTTATGTTGAATGTGATTGTTGTTTTTACACATTTCACTGTCTTGAAAAGACTGAAAGCTGTGAGGAATAGAATATATATATATATATATAATTTCTGCATCTGGAATTTGGTGGAGATTTTAATAGTCTCCTAACTAGATTATCTTAGATTTACCYACATCAAGACATCCAAAAGAATGAAAAAGCATAGATCAAATAAAGCCTCTCAACTTGGGTCCCCAAAATAGTAGTAATTAAGTACTCCTCTCCTTTGTAATGCAAATATTTCAATGGTCAGTTTTAACAATGATAGTAAATCAGGGATCAAAAGAAATACTTAAGACCCTCACAAAGCAACCTTTCCTTTCTTTCACTTCCCTACCCACCTCCCATTGCCATTCCCTAGTTCTGTTGTCCAGTTCCTGGCTTTGGTTCTGAAAGGAATTCAGCAAAGGTCTCTACTTCACTTCATGCAGATGGAGTGTGAAAAATGTCTCACATCCTTCCTTATATTTCTGAGTATTGCTTCCTTCCTAAAAATTACAATGTAGTTTAAAATACGTCACAGGTTTCTAAGGGTCCACAGGATCAAATTCAGAATAACAAGCAAGGTCCCTGATCATCTGTCCCCACCTTCCACCTACCTCTGGGATCTCCCCATACCTTCTGGAACTTGAAGTTTCCTAAATTTTCAATGGTGCTCTCTTAGCTCCAGGCTTTTACACAAGTATACAGGGCTACAGTTTCTGAAAAATATTCTTTTTTTCTTYCTCTAGTAACTTTATAGAGAACAGCTTCTCCCACTCCCCGCCCCCAACCTAATTCCTTACTGACCCCTTTAGGATTCAGCTTGGGCTTTTATTTGCACATGCCCATCTCCTGAGGATGTTTATGCATACCAGTGTTGTAGCATTATCAGAAAATGCTGTCAAAGCTAAACAGTACACCCCTTGCTGCCAAGGACCATGACTTCACTCAACATAGAGCCTTATGGAGGGTCTAATAAGCACTGTGCTAGGCCCCCAGGATGTGGCTTTCATCCTGGAAGTTACAGTATTTGTTCTTCCCTCCGTACCCCAAGTGCTTACCCATCATTCAAACAAATATTTCTCTTTGATTTTTGTTGGTTTGTTTTTACAATCTGATCCTAGCATCCATCACACACTGCTTYCATTAAGTTCTACAGACTAGGTGGACAACATGTACCTAACATCAAATTCAGCCTGTCCAAAACAAAATAGCAAATTTTAGCTAATGAGCCAACACACAGGAACTAGCAGGGTAGGGTGTTCTAACCACCAGCCCACTGCCACATTGCAGCTTTTAATTCTATCTAGGAAACATGCCAGCAAGCATAGAACAAAAGCAATTATAATTTAAGCTGAATGTAATTAATTATATCATTTGAGCTATTCCATATTAATTCTATCGAAATCACATCAGAAACCAGGGCATTAATAAAACCCCTATGTACCCTGAATTCTCTTGGAATCCCAGTCAGTCATACCACTCAGAACTCTGCTGACTCATTATTTCTACCACCAAAAAAATAATGAATAAAATTCATAAAACTTCTATACAAAAAGAGTCAACTTCATTGTATGATAATTTAAAAATTAAAGTTGAAAATTAGAAAAAACTTTAATGGAGCCCACACATGGATCTAACCATTCACTTTTCTTTTATGAATTCTTCTTTATAATATAGTCATGGGAAAYTGAAAATGTTCCCTCTTAAAAACATGCATTGACTTTATCAATCAATTACTTAGGGTCCTGAGGAACCTTTATGTCACTACTTACAATTAATTGTGTGATATGTTATGCAAACCATAATTGCTGTATCAATTATTTTTTCCACATGATTTCTTCCATGAACCAAAGGGTGGAAAACGTGGGCAGAATCAAAACCCAAGTTCTAAATATAGTCTACAATGTGGGCCAAAGCATTAGATGTTTCTACTCCTTATAATCTTTCCTATTCACTCATTTTTATTCTGATGAAATATAAAAAGCAGACTTGAAGAATATATTTTTTTCATACTAATCTTGAGGCAAATAAAGGGAACTGATCTCTCAGGCCCCTTCCAAATCTAAAACTCAATGATTATCATTCTAAATATGAAATGCTATTTCTGTGATTTATTTTCAGTACACAACTTCTGCACATTATAACTCTTCATTGCTTAGAAAATTTATTACAGCTGCTTGATGTTTAATTTGCYGACCTATTTTATGTTCTTTCCCAAGTTACTGATTTGTAAGTTTTTTTCATCTTTTATCTGTTACTTCTCACATAGTTGTTTGTACCTAAGAAGCTTTGACTAAATAGATTTTAATTTTGTGATACTTCTAAGCTCTCTAAATTGCTTTATATTATATTGGTATCATCCCAACACATTTAACCATGTCTGTACAATTAATAAACATAGGCTTCTTCTATGTCTAATTAAGATAAGGAGAGAGAGTCCGCCTGGCATACCACAGGGCACCTGTGCTCACACAAAGACTAGGCTAGTTATCACTACCCTATTTATAGTTCTTAAGCCCTGAACTCAGGAAAATTAAATTTTAGTTTATTTGAATTCATTATTTTCTCATTATATTTCATGAGCTTGGCAAAAAATAGTTCGAAGATGAAGAGTAATGAGATGAATTAACATTATGTCCCAAAGTAGTGTGGAATCTAAAATTTCTTTCCCCCTTCTCAACAAAGCAGAGAAAATAATTGAAGCCCAGGTGAAATTAACTCTAAAAAGCATAGGTAGATTATGAAAATTCACAGCTGAAGCTTTGTGTAAATGGTAAATTTTCACCTTGGAAGATAGCTACAATATACAGAAATTTGATTACGGAAAGCCAGGCAAAACAATAAAATTACCATAATGTTCATATTACTTCAGAAGCAGATGATGTTCCTAAGAGTCAATCCTAACTATATTCCATTTTTAACATACAAATCATTTTGATGATATGAGCAATTATTATTTTTATCCTCTACCAGGAAGTTATAATTGGGCTTGGAATACCTCCATTGCAAATTTTGCTTTCTTTCTCTTTTCAGAGTCACTACTGACACCACGCTTGGCCCCCGGAAAACCCTTCACAGGCTGCATCCGCCACTTTGTGATTGATGGGCGCCCAGTGAGCTTCAGTAAAGCAGCCTTGGTCAGCGGAGCTGTGAGCATCAACTCTTGTCCAGCAGCCTGACACAACCAAGCACAGTTGCCCAGCATACAGAGTTCTTTAGAGCACTGAAATAAACATAGGGCCAGCCAGGAGGACTAGCAACTTCTCCTCCCGTGGAAGCTCTCGTAGTTGAATGGAACTTAAATGAATTATCAGGGTATGGAGGCTTCTTCTCATTTGGATTCCTTCTTTGGATCCAAAATGTCTACAAAGGACGACAATTGTATGGGTAGTAAACTTGTATTGAGAGCACACATAATTCCTGCTGGTGACATGACTGTTCCTGTCTAATAAAACAGAAGAGATTCTAAATAAACACTGGCACACATTTTTAAAGTGAAGCTATATTCTCGGATTCATCATTCTTCTTTCAGGAAAGATAGCTTTCAATCTATACCAAAATATCTTTGTCCCACGCTATCTTTTTATCTTAAAAAGATTTAATAATTTGTGTATAATCTAAAATTAGATAAGATTTGCTTTTCTCCCTTTTACTTGATCTATAAACTTAAGACTACTTTAGTTTTATAGCTGCAAAATGGCAGTATAATTATTTCTAAATAAGAAAAAAATAATTAAACTAATAATTCCTTAAAAGAAAATAAAATTACATGAAGGAAGGCTCATATATTATATTATTATTACTATTATTTTGTGTTGGTATTACCAAGGACATTCATTACAACAGAGATCAACAAAAATTGTAAAATTCAACTCAAAAACATAAAAGTCCTTTTATTAAAAGTTTTTCTTCCACATGCCTGCAACACAACCAATCTTATTTCTAAAATTTTAGAATCTTTTTCCTAAGCATCTTTGTAAATAAAGCCTAGAAAAAGAAAAACAAATTGAATAGCTGCTAGAATATTAAAAATACAGAAATTGGGATAAAAAAAATTATATGTGAAAGGATAAACAACTCTAAAGTCCAAAGTCCGAATGAGAGAAGACAGGCCCCACAATCAGTAAGACAGAGTATACATAAAAGGAATAATTATTGAGGGAAATGGGTATAAATATTTTTAGGAATTACCAAAGGGAGTAAAAAAATCTCTTAGCTTGAAAGGAACAAACACACACACACACACACACACACACACCCCTATTTATATTCCCCCACTAATTTTTAATCTCAGATATATAAAGATAACTGACAATATTGATGAAAATAACTACATCTGTTCATAGACGACTTACTGTCAGCTACCATGATAAGCTAAACTAAACTTGTTTCCGATGTTCATCATGTTAATCCTATATGAGACAACATTTGCAGCTCAGGTCACCAATCCACTGACATTCAGCTAGACCTAGGATCCAGGGTTCAAAACAAGGCTGCCTGCCTCCAGCAGCTGTATGACTGCCCCCTTACTTCCCTGCAAGAGGAAGGAAGAATGCTTCCCTTCTAAGGTGAAAGAAGCTTTTATTTCCTTTTAGTTAAGCTAACATGTCAGTACTTCACACAGTAAAAATATAGGTTAAGTGCTCATAGTCATTTTGACCAATCATTTGTAGCTCCTGTCAGTTCAGTGTCCCTTCAAAATGAAGAGGCCCTTAGATACCCTTGGCTTGAAGAATATTTGGGCCTGTGTTCCCCCCTCTTCCTTTCATGGCCAAAACTCCCTGGACAAGAAGAGAATCATCCTGTGGCTTCCCAGTTACGCCCATTTCATACACTAAGATATTTTTAAATGTAAACTTCCAGTTTTCTTCCCATCTTGTTGCTATTATCATCATACATTATTTTTATGTTATCCTTCCTACTAATTTCCTTTAATCGCCTGTTTTAAAATGAGGAAATGGTTTATAAGTTTATATATTTTCCATTTCTTGTGCTATATCTATAGATCTAAATTTCTATCACCATTTTCTGTCTGAAAAACTTTTTTGAATCTTTTAGTACAGATCTACTAGGGATGAATTCTCTCAGCATTCATTTAGCTAAAAGTCTTGTCTATTTTCATTCTTGAAAGATACTGCAAACATATTGTCATCTTGAATATGTGTTTTCTGATGAAAAGTGTGCTCTCATTATTTTTGTTCCTCTGGTCATTTACTAATCAATTATAAGATTCTCTTTTTAATTATGGTGTATCACTGTTTTATTTTTTCCATGTTTCTTCTCCTAGAAAGGGGTTGGTTACACTGCTTGGATCTCTTAGTTTATTCTTTTCATCATATTTTGAAAACTTGCATATTATTTTTTCAAATATTTGTCTATCTTCCTCCTACCTCCTCCAGAGAAACTTTTTTATATACATGTTAAGAGTGCTTGATGATAAAACACAAGAATTCATGTGAAATAAAAATTTATGCTTTTTATTCATTCCTTTTTCTTCGTATTCCATTTTTGGATAACTTGAACAGCTATGTCTTTAAGTTCATTAGTATTTTATTTCCCATTATCTAGTGTTTTAATTCTATTCAGTGTGTATTTTTTATTTCAGATATTTTCATTTTCTAGTTCTACTTAGGTCTTTTAAAAAACCTTCCTTTTCTCTCTTCATCATTATAATGACTTCACATCTACTCAAACATATATGAGTATATTTATGGTAGTTTGTATATTAAAGCTATCATTTATCATTCTATTTTCCTACTGAATGAAGCTTCTTGTGACTATGGATTATATTTTCTTTCCATTTTTGCTTGCCCACTAATTTTTTATTAGATGCTGATCATTGTGGATTTTACATTTTTGGTGCTAGATTTTCATTGTAGTTCTTTAAATTTTGAGTTTTCCCACACTTGAATACAGTTAAAGTAATTGGAATCAGTGTTGTCTCTTCAAGTCCTGATCTGAGCATTGTTGTTAGGGCAGGTTCAGAGCAGCTTTCCCAATCATCCCCCAAGTCCACTCCCAACCCCACTCTGATAATACTTGCTAAAGACTCAAAATCCATTTAATAAAAGAACTTTTCATCATGCTAGTTGAAACACAAATTATTTACAACCTTGTATGAATTGTATTTTTTATCACTACTCCTTTCCTGTTATTCTTTTTCCCAGTCTTGGGCAATTTCCTRTCTGGGTTTTCTTTTCTTTCTTTCAGGAGTGTTACACTTTTTATCTGGCATACAATTATGTTACTTAGGCATCATCTTGATTGTCTGAAGTCTTATTTTTAAGCTTTGTTAAAGTTGGTACACTAGTCTTTAGGCTAGAGCTCATTTAGTCTTCCTATAGAGACATGACTTTTTTKAATCTCTACTCATTATCCCACATGTTCAACAAGGTCTTTTCTCTTTGGTTGGTTGTAATATGAATATTTCCCAGCTGACAGTGTAAGTTATGAGAGTTTATCATTTTATAACTTCATGGCAGTTTTTTTTTCTTTTTTAACTAATATAGTACATAGGCATCTATGTACATATAATTATAAGCTAATAGATTTTTCATTTTTAAAAAAGACCTATGTATCTCTTCAGGGACAGTAAGAAACTGAGAGAATTTTAACTGACCCTAAATCAGTCCTTTGGAGAAGACAATTTTATTGGATGGATGGTGACAGCCATGAAGAGGAAAGGAAAACAGGCTGAGTCCTGGGTACTACTGCAAGAAGAAAAATAAAACATAGAGCTGGCCTAGACCTCAAAGGTTATCCTTATCCTTTTACTAATAAAGTAAAAAGATCCATCAGAACTTTTTCAATACTGATATACAATTTCAAGATGACTCTTTGGGACTTGGGGAATAATGTGATAATGGGTCATTTTTCCTGGAAAAGATAAGGGTTAAAACCATAGCCTTGACCTCATTAATAAATTTAACCAATAATCTGAGCTCCCAAATGAAAGCAGTTAAAATACTTTGCAGATTAACCATGGACTAGGAACTTTTTTGATCTTGGGTATTCTTCCAAAAAGCACAACGCCCAGGCTCCGTTGCTCACCCAATATAATTTTTGGCAGAGCATTATCAAAAGATTATCAAGCCATAAATGAGCTAGGGTATTCAGATGAAGGGACTTAGCTAAGTATTAACCTAAATATAAACAAAGGAAGTTAACTTAAAACACATTAAGTATTTAAAATAGGCCCCACATGAGAAGAAGCAAGATGATAGATTAGGATCATCCCTCACAAAAAAATAAATTTGAACAACTATGCACATTAAAAAAAAAACTTCATTAATACCTAAGGAAACCAGATGAGACACCCTGATTTCACAAATAGTAAGAAAATTATGCATTGAAGAGAATAGAAAAGACAATTTTCACGTTACCCTCCTAACTGCTGGCAGAACAGCATGGAGAAAATCCCCCATCTACTTGGAGGAAGGAGAGGGAAGTAAGCTTAAGAATTTGCCTTGTAATCCAGCACTAGGCCACCACAGTGAAACCTAGCACCAAGCAGAACCTCTTGACTCAACACCAATATTCAGAGACAGAGCCCCTAGACCTACTTCAACTCAAGATAGGAAACCACAACTCCAGGAAGATGAGCTCAAGTTCTGGCCTATGTCACCACCAGCAAACTATGGTAGCCTTGGGCCCTGAGTAAACCTCAGCAGTAAGCTGGCCATCTGCCTGACATTGTGCTGGCCTAGCAGCCACAGGCTTTGAGTTTGACCAAGTAGTACATTGGCCATGGCAGCCAAAGGATCCTGTGGGCAGTGGTCCTCAGTATAGGGTGCTCCCTAAGACTGTAATGACTGAAGTTGTCATAGGCTCAGTGACCTGATTAGGTTGACTGATTAGTCAACTTGCCCTGAATCTCTGGACAAACTTATGGAAACTCCCAAACACACCCAAACTGTGAATTAGGTACCTATGTCAGTATGCAGATATCAACTCATGGCCAAAAGTGCCAGGATCAACCAAGGAAACATGATGGCGTCAAATGGACAGAATAAGGTACCAGTGACTGATCGTGAAGATATGGAAATGGAATTACTGCCTCACAGAGAATTCAAAATAGATGCCTTACAGAAGTTCAGGGACTTCAAGTATTTGAAACAATTAAGAAATTCATCAGAGAAATTTGTAACAGAGATTGAAATAATTTTAAAAAAACAAATAAAATAGGCTCCATCTGACTGATAACCATGGTAGATTAAGTTTCATCTTGAATTATTAATATTAATCATCCAAGATGATCTCTAAGGCACTTCTAACTGTTAAATATTATTCTGCCTTGTCTGTTACACATAACTGATAACTTATCACTATGTGTTTTTTAATGGTTACATTTCTCCTTTTTACTAAAATAAAATAGTTCAACTATTGTCATCATCCAACGGTGCCACCACTTTTATTTGTTTACCAGATCATAAGATGATCTTGGCCCATTACCCTTGACCTAGTCAACCCTCAACAACAGACTTAATGATGCTATTTAGGATGCATTTCCTTGCTGCTTTGTGCAGGTGGCTTTCGCATTGTTGCATAGACAGTGATGGGAACATCAGTTATTGTCAGGCAATGACTTCCAGGGCATCTTCGGAGTTGCCTGAATAAAAGAGCAAATAACATGTAAATATTAGATACTAAACAGGAAAATTTTTAGAGCACCAAAGTTTGAGTATATATTCAACTGTTTTAAATCACTTTGAAATCTTTGAATGGTACAGAATAAGTATAACACAGAGGCATTAATGAGCCAAACATTCTAGGTTTATGTAGCAAAGAAATTGTGGCTGTTGCCAAATATTTAATTACTGAAAGTTCACAAATAATAAAAATAACCCTCCAAATTTTTATTTTGAAGGGTATGCAGGAATTGCTAAATGGCAAATTAAAATACACTGTTATAAACCTAAGTGTTAATACCATGGCAATTCATTCATAAACGTACCTTAAGAATCAGATCATTCATACACTAGCCTTTGTGTGGGCATATGTTTTCGTTTATTTAGGTGTAGAATGGCTGAGTCATATGGTAGGTTTATGTTTAGCTTTTGAGGAAGCTGCCAAACTGTTTTTCCAAACTTTTATATCATTTGATATTTTCTCCAGAAGTGTACACGATTACCAGTTGCTCTGCATCCTTGTCAACACTTGGTATGGTCAGTCTTTTTAATTTGAGCTTTTCGGGTGAATATGGAGTGAGATATCTCATCATAGTTTCCATTTATAATTCTCTGATGAGTGATGATGTAGAACATTTTTATGTGTGTTTTGGCCCCTCATAGATCTTCTTTTTTGAAATGTCTGTTCAATTTTTTCCCGTTATATAAAATATATTGTTTGTCTTCATATTATTGACATGTAAGAGTTCTCTATACATTTAGAGTACAAGTCCATTGTCTGAATATTTTTTCCCAGTCAGTGACTTGCCTGTATGTTTTTTTAATTTGTTCTAAATGTCTATCAACAAGTAAATAGATARCAAATTGTGCTACATCTATGCAATGTAATCCTACTTAGCAATTAACAGAGCAAAATATTGATTGAATGGATGAATTTCAARATCTTTTGTGCTCCTCAAAAAAAAAAGAATGCATAGTGTAGATTCCATTCCTATAAATTCTAGAAAATGCAAAAGAATATGTAGTGGCAAAGGTAGACCAATGGACATGAGGGCTCAGGGAAGATGGATTATTAAGGGGTATGAGGGAACTTTTGGAAGTGATGGAAATTGTTGTCTTGATGGAAATGGTTTCATGAGTATAGACATTAGTTGAAGCCCATTAAATTGTAGTTTTATATGTATAAAAAAAGAATCATTTTAGTTGGATGATTTCAAATCTAGAATATTTATTWAAAAATTGAACAAAATAATCCACATATAATCAAATGTTGATGGAATCTCAGGTTTAAAATAGGTCTTAAATGTCACTTAAAAAATGCATGTAGTGTCTGAATTTCCTTTCCTACATTCCCACCAAATACTCAGCCTTGAACACTTCTAAAGAAAAGCTCAAAACTTTCAAAGTAGCCAATTAYATCCTTGAAAACTACCTTATTAATATTAAATTTGTGACCCCCAAATCTCTAAACCATGAGAAACCTAACAATATAGTATTTACTGCTTTGCTACAGAAAACAGCAAGAGTGTAACAAATCCAATTTATTTGTAGGGTTTTTTTTTTGAAACTTTGCAAAAATGATTTTTTTCATAGTCTTTTTTTCTGAAGATGATCTTTTTTTTAATTAGTTGCTCAAAACATTACAATGATCTTGACATATCATATATCATACATTTGATTCAAATGGGGTATGAATTCTTATTTTCCCATGTGTACAGATTGCAGGATCACATTGGTTATACAGCAATGTTTATRCATACTGCAATACTAGTGTCTGTTGTATTCTGCTGCCCTTCCTATCCCCTTCCTATCTCCCCGCTTCCCTCCTCTCCCCTCCCATCACCTCTCCTATCCCATCTACTGTAACACATTTCTCTCTTTTTTTTCCTTCCCCCTCACACCGTCTTATATGTAATTTTGTATAACAATGAGGGTCTCCTTTCATCTTCCATGCAATTCCCCTTCTCTCTCCCATTCCCTCCCATCTCTCATCCCTGTTTAATGGTAATCTTCTTCTCATGCTCTTCCTCCCTGCTCTATTTTGAGTTGCCCTCCTTATATCAAAGAAGACATTTGTTTTTTAGGGATTGGCTAGCTTCACTTAGCATAATCTGCTCTAATGCCATCCATTTCCCTGCAAATGCCATGATTTTGTTATTTTTTAGTGCTGAGTAATATTCCATTGTGTATAAATGCCACTTTTTTTATCCATTCATCTATTGAAGGACATCTAGGTTGGTTCCACAGTCTAGCTATTGTGAATTGTGCTGCTATGAACATTGATGTAGCTGTATCCCTGTAGTATTCTCTTTTTAGGTCTTTTGGGAATAGTCYGAGAAGGGGAATAGCTGGGTCGAATGGTGGTTCCATTCCCAGCTTTCCAAGGAATCTCCATACTGCTTTCCAAATTGGCCACACCAATTTGCAGTCCCATCAGCAATGTACAAGTGTACCCTTTTCCTCACATCCTCACCAGCACTTGTTATTGTTTGACTTCATAATGGCTGCCATTCTTACTGGAGTGAGATGGTATCTTAGAGTGGTTTTAATTTGAATTTCTCTGACTGCTAGAGATGGTGAGCATTTTTTCGTGTATTTGTTGACTGATTGTATATCCTCCTCTGAGAAGTGTCTGTTCAGATCCTTGGCCCATTTGTTGAGTGGGTTATTTGTTTTCTTGTTGTTTAATTTTTTGAGTTCTTTGTATACTCTGGAGATTAGGGCTCTATCTGAAGTGTGAGGGGTAAAAATTTGTTACCAGGATGTAGGCTCCCTATTTACTTCTCTTATTGTTTCTCTTGCTGAGAAAAAATTTTTTAGTTTGAATACGTCCCATTTGTTGATTCTTGATTTTAACTCTTRTGCTATAGGTGTCCTATTAAGGAATTTGGAGCCTGACCCCACGAGATGGAGATTAGAGCCAACTTTTTCTTCCATTAGAYGCAGAGTTTCTGGTTTGATTCCTAGCTCCTTGATCCATTTTTGAGTTAACTTTTGTGCATGGTGAGAGAAAGGGTTTAAATTTCATTTTGTTGCATATGGATTTCCAGTTCTCCCAGCACCATTTATTGAAGATGTTATCCTTTCTCCATTACATGCTTTTAGCACCTTTTTCTAATATAAGGTAGTTGTAATTTTGTGGATTGGTCTCTGTGTCCTCTATTCTGTTATAACACTCTTGCTGCCAAAGACAGTGTCTAATTAAAGTGACACTAAATCTGAGATCTGTCTTTTTTCTATTTGTAGCCTTATGCCTACCACGGTGCCCAACATATAATAACACTAAAGGTTTATTTAATTGAGCATTCTCTAATCTTGAAAACTATCAATAAAACAAGCAGCTGAAAATTTACCAAAAAGAGAAAGAATTACAGAGATATGAAATACAAACTCTATGTTTTTTTTTAAATGGGCTCTCTTAACACTAATTTAATAACAGCAGTGTTTGAATTCCTGGGGTTTTTCTTGCTAACATTGAATATGTATTGATGATAGAGAATACATATTTCTTCAGTTGTCAGGACAAGAAGACTTTACCTATTTGGTGACATCTCTTTCCCATTACAGGCAGCACTTGAGCTCAGCCCTGATTCTAGCCCAATTGAAGAATCTCCTCCTTCCACTGGAAACCTCCTTGGTTGGGTCCCAAACCGAAAAGGCATAATTCACTGAAAACCTAGACAAGAAAGTTAAAATAATAAGGGAGGGAGTTATCTTCAATGAGTTATCTGAAATTATTAACTTTATTGTTTAACATTATTCTATATATATGTTTATATACATAGAAACATTCTGAAAGTAACATTTTAAAATATCTATAAAAAGGTAAAATACTATATTACACAATTATCCATTACATACAATTTTAATTCTTGTAACAATTACAAGACAGCCACACTAAGTGATAAAAGTAACCTATTCCCTTTAGTTAACATAATTGGACTATGGTTAATATTAATAGACTTCAAGTCCACTATTGCTGTGTGGAAAAAAAAAAGTCAGTTTGACTTCCAGTGGTTGTAATCAACAAACTTACTCCATCTCTAACACCTCTCCACCTATCTACACTTGCTCTTCTCTTCCTCTGAGTTTCACACTCACCAAGATACCTTCAGCTACTCTTTCTCTTCCTATGATCATTTATTCCCCCCACCTTTGCTTCTCTACATTTACAATTCAGCAGAGTTAAGACAGTGGTCTTGAGAGGTTGGACTAATATGAGTTCAAATCTTAGTCTAGCCTTCTCCAACTATGTGATCTTAGTCAAGGTACTTAATTTATGTTTCTCAAAAGTTGTGAATAACATTATCAACTTCCAGGGTAATAGTGAAAATTAAATAATATGTGTAAAGTACAATGCCTAACACTTAAGTGCTCAATAAATGTTGACTTATTACTCAGCAGATGCCACTGAGCATTAGTAATATATATTAATTTACATTAGTAAATATTTATTAATGAATACCATATGATATATGATGAATACACACACACACACACACACACACACACATACGAATAAACTGTCTATTGTTGTCTTTGCTTGGAACTCTTTCCCCATCCATTGTTACCACCCTTCACTTGCTAGGGCCAACTTACTCACTAAGCATGAATTTACACTTCAGTTTCTTAGAGAAACCTGTCAAAACCCTCATCATCCAAGTTTTCATAACACCTTTATTTCTGTTTTGTAACAGTGACCATCATTCTAATTCAGAGTTTCTCAAAAACATGATACCATTGTCATTTAGGACCAGATGATTCTGAGTTGGGGAAGGCAGACTTTCCTGTACATTGTATAATATTCTGCAGCATTTACCCACTAGATGCCAACAGCATCTTTCTCCCAACTGAGACAGTCTCCAGATATTGCTGAGTGTCCCCTGGTAAGGGAGAGAGGAAAAATTTCTCCCTGTTCAGAAACACTACACTAGTAGTTTATAAATGTTTTGTTTAGTATCCCCYATTCTATGTCTATCTTTGTCACCACTCTAATAACCATAACAGTTCTTGAATAAATTTACATGTCTTCAACTATTAGCCCACAGAGGACAGGAAAAATAAAAAATGTCTTAAAACTGTTTCAATGCCTAGCATTCTATGCCTAATAAGTAAATGTTTATTGGTGATACAATAAAACTAAATTATTAAGGTTTAAGAATTTGAATATTATACAATGATTTTTATAGACTGTGTCAATATCATGAAAAAAMATGTTTTGCTCAATAATTATTTAGTAAAACCATAGTTAACTCTATGGTTTAGTCTTTCTATCTAAGTATTAAGTTTTAGCTAACTTGATCAAGGAAATATATACTTACCAAAATAGGCCGAGTCTGATTCCGGTAGAGGTGAATAAATCAATTGCTTCTACTGACCTTCCATAGAAAGCTAGAATTGCCGAAGGAATGATGATCAAATGTTCCAGCGACACCCAGAAATTATGACATCAGAAGATTCTTTCACATAGTTTCCCACCTGCTAAAGATCAAATGTCTCAATAACTCTAGCAACAAGATGAAACTTGAATAAAATTTAAGCAATTCGGTGGGGGAGGGTGTAGCTTTATTCTTCTTGTCAGGGCCTTATTTTCCAACAATATTAAACATTCTGACCTACAAATGAAGAGCTACAATCTAATTGACCTGCACAAAATCACGTGWGATTCTTCTCACTAATCCCATTTCCTCATTCTCTTTATCTCCCAGGCTTAACTAAAAACACAAATCATCCAATCTATATCCTCATCCTACTCTAACACTCTCAAACCCAAACCAAATTTCTCTATAGCTCTTAAATGGGAATATTCATTATACTCTGGACTATCTCTCTAATCTCTGGACTACCTCTTGTTTTTTCAAGAGATCCTAATTCCAAAATGGAAGAAATAATAACAACCCCAAAAGGAAGAACACATCTTATTCTGTCCTTGTTATTCTGTTTCCTTGTTACTGAGTTTCTTCTTTGCTGATCACATCTTTGCATTTCTCTGAATTGTTCTCCCTCTCCCAACTAGTTCTCCGCTTCTATATCAACAGCTTAATAGCTTACTTCACTGAGAGTCTGCCCTACTCMGTAATGCTTAAGTTTAACACTTACGGCAGAAAATTACTCTTCAGTTAATAATTTTTCAATTGTCATTGGTAATCATTAAACTACTAAATGCTAGTGAAATTTGATGAAAATCTTATTACCTACATAGTAAACTAAGTTCCCACTGCTATGAATTCATTATGTTATAAAAACTAGTATTTTATATAATAATTAGATAAAATCTTACCTCTACCTTCTTTTTTCTTACTAGGGTGTTATCTGTGAATGAGTTGATCACAATTTTTGTTTGGAGAAATCTAGTTTAACCCACTGTGTCACAGTCAGACAAACTGAAATAATTGCTGGCCATTGTTAGCTAATGCATCATTAGAACTTAAACATTTGTTCTTTAGGATGGCAAATTTTTTCAACAGTTTACATGATGGAGAGAAGGTAGCAGTGGAAAATGATAGATTTTGACATCAGAATTAGGTATGAATTTTAACACCATGTTAGCTCTGTAATTCTGAGCAAATCACCAAAAGTTTATATGGAAATGGTATTATAAATACAAAGTAAAATAATCTCCTTTACACATATTTAATCCCTCTAATTTACCATTATCTTAACTAAATTAAACTACTTTTAATTAAATGAGCTAGTTGATCATTTGGTATAAATTATGCCACATTTCATTCATGGATACAGTGAAACCAAACCAAATAGTAGTCCTAATGATCAAACTTTACAGTACTTGAGTAACATCAAAAGACAAAATGAATTAGACTCTATAGAAGATCTTCACAGCTCAACACAGTGGTGAATGCCTGTAATCACAGTGGCTCAGCCAGCTGAGGTAGGAGGATTTCGAAGCCAGAAACCGAGCAAGACCTTAAGCAACTTAGCGAGACCCTGTCTCTAAATTTAAATATATATATATATTTATTTAAAAGGGGTGAGGGGGACTGGGTTAAGCACTCCTGGGTTCAATCCCTGATACAAAATAAAAAAAAAAAGAATCTTTACAAAGCAATGAGTAAATAAATGAAGTATAAAAGAGAGATACAAAAAGATTATGAAATCTCTTAAATAATCTCTCTTAACTATCATAAGCCCAAAAATTCTTTTTGATTATTGGGATATTAATTAATGAGATGTCAAAAAGGAATAATGTTTGAACTTTCATATCCTAAGAAAATAGAACTATGATTACACTTCATTCAGCAAATATTTTCTAAAAATCCACCATGAGCTCTGCATGAGTTAAACATTCAGGATAAAAGACTGACTGAGCAAAAACAAACACGTATTCTGCTCTAGTGAAGTTATCTATTAGGGTAGGATATTTCTAGACTAGAATATCAAATCTAAATCTAAAGGATGAGTAGGCATTAACAAGGAGGAAAAGGGTAGGAGTCAAAGACACTGAGACAGGGAGGGGGAAAACAGAGGAAACTGTGTGCAAAGGTCACATGCTAATAAGACAATAAAATATTTGAAAGGTGGCAAAAGCACAGCATAGAAAACAAAAAAGAGATATGGTCCAAGAGATAAGTACAGCCCAAACCATGCAGGAGCATAAACTCAAAGATTTTAAAGCAAAGGAKACTGCTGAAGGATTTTAATTTCTCAGTACACATGTGGCAGTTGTATTTGTTTTTCTTTATTAATTTTTGTTTTCTAATATATCTGATTTTCTACTCTACTATTTACTTTCTTCTATTTACTTTGGGATAAATTTTTCTTTTTCTAGTTTCTGAAGGTGTAAGCTTAGTCACTGATTTGGGACTTTTTTCTTTTCTAATATAATCATTTAATTTCATAACTTTCCATTAAAGCACTACTTTACCTACATTCTACAAATTTTGAAATTTTCTACTTTAATTGTTAAAATGTTTCCTTTTGAAAAAATACATACTACGAATAATTTTAAATGCTTTCATCTTTGTTCTGAGTTATTTACAATTGTATTGTTTAGTTTTCAAACAGTTGGGAATATTCTACTTTTCTGTTACTTATTCCAGTTTAGTCACAGAACAAACATTCTTTGCTTGATTTGAATCTTTTAAAACTGAGAATTGTTTTCATGGCCAGATATGCACTATTGTTGTAAGTGTTCCATTTATACTAGAAAAGGATGTGTCTTTTGCTGTTAGGTGAAGTGTTCTATGCAGGTAATTGGTTGACAAAGTTGTTCAATTCTTCTATAGTCTTCTTTATAATTGTTCTCTGTTGAAATAGGGGCATTGAAATCTCCAACTATAATGGTGAATTCATATTTTTCAATTCTGCCAGATTTTGTTTCATTTGTTGTTATATGTATAAAAACATAGTATTGTTATGTTCTTTTGGCAAAATTAAACCTTTATCATTATAAAATATCTTTGTTAATCCCTGATAATATTCTTTGCTCTGAATTTACTTTGCATGAAATTCAAATAGCTTCTTTCTATTGGTTAATGTTAGCATGATATGTCTTTTCCTATTTTATTTTTAACCTGTTTTATTTTCATATTCTAAGTGGGGTTTTCTTGTAAATAGTATATAGTTGAGTCTTGCTTATTTTATCCACTCAGTGATAAACAAAGGTGTTTGGATTATTTATATTGAATGTAGTAAAAAAATTTGAATTTAAACATGCCATATTGCTATTTGCCTTTTACCAGTTCTCTGCTGCTCCCCCTTTATTAAAATTTTGTATTTTGGATGAACTTAGTATACTTTATGAATTGATTTTTTTGCTGTCATTTGTTTATTTTTATACATCCTTGTATTTTGGTTTTGGTTTCTTCAGAGTTTATAGTATCATATCTTTTAACTTCTGACCTTCTGTCTTGAAATAAAATTATAACATTTCATGTATACTAAAAGAACTTGATTATATGATATTCTATTTCCCCTCTTTTGCTATGTATTTTATTGTTATTTATTTTACTATTATGATTACTATAATATTTTAGTTTTCTTTAATTATATTTTAAGGAGATTTTTTAAAAGAAGGCTTTTTACATTTACATATGTATTTGTATTTTCAATGTGCTTTGTACCTTTTGTGTACATCCACATTTTCACCTGACATCATTTCTCTTTTGCCTGAAGATTTTCATTAAACAGTGCTGATCTTCTGGTGATAATTCATGGAGCTTTTTTATTTATTTCATTTTCATTCTTGAACAATATTTTCTCTGGGTATAGAAATTTTTTTCCAGTGCTGAGGATTGAATCCACAGCATTGTACATGGTAAGCAAGCAACTCTACCTCTGAGCTGTATCCCCAGCCTAAATTGAAATTTTTAAGTATTTTCCACATTTTGTTCCACTGTTTTCTGGCTTGCATTGTTTTTTAAAGAAATCTGCTATCAGTTTTTCTCCTCTATGAATGTGTCTTTTCTCTCTGACTTCTATGTTCATTCTTCATTCACCAATATTAAGCAATTGGATTATAATGTGCTAGGTGTAGTTTTCTTCTTGTTTCTTCTTATATTTGTGGGTCCATCATTTTTATCACATTTGGAAATTTCACAGCCATGATTTTTCAAATACTCTTTGTTCCCTCCTTCTAGACCTCAAATGCATGTATCTTAAGCTGTTTGAAGTTATACCACAGCTCATTGACCCTTCTTTTTTAGGAAAAAAAAAAAAACCTCTTTGTTTTGGAGAGTTTCTATTGCTATGTTTTCAAATTCATTACTTCTTTCCTTTGCAATGTCTAATCTGCATTTTTTCACCTAAATATTGTACTTTTCTTCCAGTTTGGATTTTGTTTGTTTGGTTGGTTTTCTTTTGGAGTTTTTTATCTCTTCCTAATGTTCTCATGCTTACTCTGCTTTCTTGAACATATGCTGTATATTTATAACTGTTGCTTTAATGTCCTTGTTTACTAATTCTTTCATTTGTGCACTTCCTGGTGTGTTTTTAACTGATTTTTCTTCTCGTCATGGGACTGGTCTTTGCATACACAGAAATGTTTATTTGAATGCCAGACATTGTGAATTCACATTACTGAATAATTTTATTTTTAGTCCTCTAAGTACTTTTGAATTTTGGTCTGGGACATAGTTATTTAGAAACAGCTGGGCCTTTGGAAGCTTGGTTTTATGCTTGCTAAGGCTAGATTAAAACAGCCTTTCATTTAGAACCAGTTTGTCTCTACTATCATTCTGAGAACTCAACTAAATGTTTCATGGATTATAAGAGCTCTTCACTTAAGATATCTGGAATGTGAATAATTAGAATCAGCTCTATGTGGCCCCTATGAATTGTTTTGTATGCTTATTTCCAGGGGCTTTACCCTCTGTCTTAGATAGCTTTTACATATGCATGCACTAATCAGTATTCATGAGCATCCCCTCAAAGATCTCCAGAACTTTCTTTTTCTATACTCTATCTCCTCTCTGGCATTCTGCTTTGCAAATTTCAATTGTCTTAGTCCCCCAGAATTCTCAATTTTTTCTCAATTCAAGGTACCATCAGGCTGTATTCTCTATTCATCAGGAAAGGAGTCGCTATGTGTATCCCAGTCTCCAGGAGTGAATAGGAGAATAGGAGAAGGAGATCATTGGGTGTCATCTTAGAAATTGCCTACCACAGATGCTGCAGGTTTGAGTATGTTTATACAGTACTAACAAACGTTCATCAAATATTTCTGAATTTATGAATTTCAGGAATTGCAATTCCTTGTACCTTATGATTATTTTGAGTCCACATAACTAGTTTTGGCCAATAAATTATTAGTGATTATTAGCTGCCAGTGCAAAACTTTCTTGATCTGTCTTTGTCTCTGCCATAAAAACCAGAAATTCTTCTCATATCACATACAAAAGTCAGCTGAAAGTAAATTAAATATTTAAAAATAAGATCTGAAATTATAAGACCACTAGAATAAAACTTGGGAAAGCTCCACAACATTGGTCTGAGCAATGATTTCTTGGATGGGACTCCAAATACCTAATCAAAAAAAGCAAAAATAGATAAGTGAGACTTCATCAAATCAAAAGCCTCTGCAAAATCAAGGAAATACTTAAAAGAGTAAACAGACATCCCACAGATGGGTAGAAAATATTTGCAAGCCATACATCTGATAAGAGACCAATATCTAAAATATATTATTAAATAACTTAATAAAGAGTAAACACTTAGTGTAATTTGAAAGTGGGAAAGTTATTGAAAAGACATTTCTCAAAAGAAGGTATAAAAACAGTGAACAGATATATGAAAAGATAGCCAACATCACTAACCATCAGAGATATGTAAATTAAAACCACAATGAGATGTATCACCTCACACTCTTTAGAAGGACTATTACCAAAAAGCCCAAAGATACCAAGTTCTGGCAAAGGACACAGAGAAAAGGGAATCCTTGTACAGTGTTGGTGGGAATACAAATTAATATAGTCAATATGATAAACAATATGGAAGTTCCTCAAAAAACTAACAATAAAACTACTATATGATCCAGAAGTCCCCCTTCTGGGTATTCGGTAGTCTCCCCTTCATTTGTGAATTTACTTTTCACAGTTTGTTATCTGCAGTTAAATATAATCCAAAAATATTACATGGAAAATTCCAGAAAGAGACAATTCATTAAGTTTTAAATTGCACTTTCTGAGTTGCATGATGAAATCTTATACTGTCCTGCTCCATCCTGCCCATGAATTACCAGTTTGTCCAATATATCCTCCACAATGTATATGGTAACCACCTATTGGTCACTTAGTAGCTGTCAGTTATAAGATCCAACTATTGTGGTGTCACAGTGCTTGTGTTCAAGCATTTTATTTATTAATCATTTTATTTATTAATGGCCCTAAAGCACATGATATATGATATGGCACTTTTATTACAGCATTGTGTTATAAAAATTCTACCTTATTATACTACTAATAATTGTTGACTTCTTATTTGCTTCACTTACAGAAACTATAAGTATGCATGTATAGAAAATATAGCATATTCAGAGTTTATTACTTCTACAAAGATAGTAATAAACTATCAGGCATCCACAGATAAGGGAGGAACTACTGAATATCCAAAGGAATTTAAATCAGTTTGTTGAAACAATATCTACACTTTTGTGTTCTTTGAAGCATTATTTGCAACAGCTAATATATGGAAGCTACTTCACACTTTTAAAAATTATTCATTAGTCCTTTAATGTGATGCAGCTCAGGAGGCTGAAGCAGGAGGATCACAAGTTCAAAGCCACCTGCAGCAACTTAGTGAGGCCATAAGCAACTTAACAAGACCACATTTCAAACCAAAAAACAAAAAGGACTAGGGATGTGGCTCAGTAGTTAAGTGCCCCTGGGCTCAATCTTTAATACCAAAAATATATATTTATATTTATATATAAATATATATTATGATATTTTTATATATATTCATATATCATATATATGTGTATATGTGTGTGTGTGTGTGTGTATATATATATATATATATATATATATATATATATAGAGAGAGAGAGAGAGAGAGAGAGAGAGAGAGAGAGAAGCTACTTCACACTTTTTAACTATTCATTAGTCCTGAAGGTGTGTGTTTTGGTCTTCAACTTTCTCAGTTCTTTAACTCCATTTTATTTCATTTTTCATTAAATATATATTTACTATCTACTGTATACTAGGCAAGGTTCTTAGAACTACTGGTATAGTAGTAAACAAAGAAGGCAAGGCTCAGTCAGCTCTCAGAGAGCTTATTTCTCAGTATATTATTTTAGCATCTTGTCTTCAAGTTCCTATTTTATTATATTCATATTCTTTTGATTAAGTTCTTCTATAGCACAGAGTATATATGATAAATTTTCTTTTATCCCCTTAGGTTAGCTTTTATTCCAGACCATGTATTTTATCCATATTTTGTATGCTATCCTACTTCCTTTTATAGTAACAGTGTGCATGACTCTCAATGATTTTTTTGGCTTGTTCATATTTAGCATGTGAAATGTCCAATCTATTTTCTCTCTGTGTTAGTCAATTATCTCTCCAAGCCTACTGCACTAAAAAATCTCAGTGGCTTCAGGCAAAAAAAAAAGAAAAAAAGAAACACTTTTTTTTTTACTTAAAGGACAGTGTATGGCCTGTTGTTCAGCTTTTCTTACCTTGACCAATCTGGATTTGCCTATATTGAGGTATGGAAGGTTGTTTGACTCGTAAGTAGAATCATCTGATTCCCTCCAGATCAAAGTTATCAATGAGATTTGTTAGTACTTTCTTAATTTAACTTCTTTCCCATGTGCATTTTCTGGAGAATAATGACTCCAGGAGTTGTAATAGGGGTACCTCTGGGCAAAAGCCAGAATACCAGATGAACTGGCACCATAACTCATCAATACAAACCTATTCACATCACTACCTACAAAATTTGTTCATGTTTTCCAAATTTAGAAAGCCCCAAACTTTGGGACTTCAGCATTAAGAACTGAAGTGACACACTGCATCTCCACCCTGACTCCAAGCTTACCAATAAGAATTTAAAATTAAATCTAGTAATTACAAAAATTTATTGATTAAAGGTGCTGATTATTACAAGATATTTAAATATTAAGGTGAAAAACACAAATATGGGAAAGCCTCAGCCACATAACCAACCCATTTCAACAAAAAATTTATCAGCTATCAGAAAAATATATAAATATTATTAGTCTTGATGCAGGAATATGGTGTTAGAAATAATTGAATAGTATGGCTCATATTACCACACATCAATGTCACATAATTTTTTATTAAATGAAGAAGGTTTCTGTAGTTTCTCAGGATTTCTGTGTAAAAAGTTAATTTCATTTGAAGTGCTTGAGTTATTTATTGAAATTTGATCTAATTTGATAAAAAAATTTTGGCATTTTTTAATATTTGACAATTTTAATGAGTTGGCCTTTCACTAATGCATGATTTTTCATTTTTTCCTCCTCTATCCCATCTAAACATTGTACTTAGATCAAATACTTTAATCCCATCTCTTCCATCAGACTTCTATTTACCTGGCTGCACCCTTGCCCAACGAATGCACTTATTGTTGGCGCCACCAATATTATTTCGAGTATTTCCTGCCCGTGTCTTCAATTGACTGTAAGCTTGTTGGCGCTAGATCTGTCTTAACTCCTTTTGAGTCCTCCAGGGGGCCTAGAAATTAATGTTAAGAGTATACAGCGCTCGACAAATACTGGTTGGGTCTCTGAACTTAGCTTTGTCCTTTGTGTCTAAGTGTACTTATTTTCGGTTGAGACCTGGCACTGTGTATCCGTCCGGGATTTCTTTGTCCTCCTCGACAGTGCTCGTTTTCTATTAGAACAAAGGGTTTGTCGGATCGCCACGCTAAAGGGAGCGTCCCGTGGAATCTGAGTAAACGGAATTTGACCCACTGCCCACATATTGAGACTGGGGACTAAGACTAAGCCTCTGATAGCCCACGCACAGTTTAACGACACATATTTAAAATACCACTCCAAATCCTGGTTATCCGTCAGTTACCCCGGCCTCCGGAGCTGCCGACACTCAAAGATGTTGACAAGGCAGCGAGGATCTGCGGTCTGGTCGCTATGGTAACGGTGAGATGCAAGTGCGCTTGCGCGACCTTCTGACCGACCGCCCTCCGATTTCCCAAACCTAAAGAAGTGTTTAGCTACGGTAGCGACTTGCGACGGCAACGACTTGCGGCAGCAGCGTGACTTACGGCTGCCCCCTGGTGAGGAGCAGTTGCGGACCAATGAGAATGCGGGATTGGGTTCGAAGGTGTCCGGGGCAGGCTACCTTCCAAAATGACCCAGTCGGTGGTCGTACAGGGTGAGCTGCACCGGAGCATGGGGACTCGGTCGCCGTAGAGCTTAACAGTCGTTTCCCTACCTAACGTTCATTCTTTTTGTTCCTCTCTTTGGTCGCAGTCGGCCAGTGCGGAAACCAGATCGGTTGTTGCTTCTGGGACCTGGCCCTGAGGGAGCACGCCGCGGTCAACCAGGTACTGGTACCCGCCGAGTCCCCCTTGCCTGTCACAAAGAGCAAAACAAAACCAGAAAATGCTTTATTTGAGCACTTATCTGGATATATGAGATCTTGTCAGTGAAGAATGTGACTTTTTTTTAAAGTATGTTGCTATTAGACACACACCAGTCTAAATAAACACTGGCCAGAAACCTTAGTCATAAAAATTTTCCTGATTCTCAGGGTCTCCAATTTTTTAGTGTTCTTATAAAGAGCAGTAAGTATGTGAAAGTACTTTATAATATAGGTTACACATGTGATTATTAACTAGTCCACTTGTCAAATGATCACCAAGAATCCAGAGAAAACTCTTTGATTTTTGGAGAAAACTCTCCAATTCTATGGAGAAGTCTTTCATGACCGCCTGCTGAACTCAACCTATAGATTTCTTTGCATTGACTACAGAAGTCAGAGAATCAATCTAAACGTTTTTATGATGCTTGCATTTTATTATGACCATTTACTAGCCATTGCATCATTTAATAACAAGAATTATTAAAATTGAAAGGACTTTATTTGGACAAGAGGCAAGACTTAAATTCTATAATTTGTTTTCTTTTTAGAAAGGAATTTATGATGAGGCAATAAGCAGCTTCTTTAGAAATGTGGATACCAGGTAAGATGGTATTAAAGTCTTAGCATGATGAACCTTTCTTTTCGTGTCAGCAGATTAGGAGAGAATTCTTTAAAGGACAATAAAAACAGTTGATAGCTATAAATTTTTCTGGCTTTTTTGCTTTTCTCATTGAAAACATTCTCAGTTTATCATTAATACTCTTCTGTATTCTGCAGAACAGGACAACAAATTTCCTTTTCAGGCTTTATTGAGGAGCAGAAAGAACCTTCGGTGTGTTTCTTTTAGCTTAACCTTGAAATAAATTTTCACTAAAGCTGAAATTTTCCCTGAGAGTATCTTGTTAATCCATCTAACAATGGCTAACTTTTGAAAGTATTCTTTACATTTCCTTGATATGATTTGTGATCAGGAATAATTGCTCTAAGTATAGAATGTGCTAAAAGGAGAAAAGATGTGTAAACTGCTTGTAATCAACATTACTTTTGTTTCTTTAATGAAGGATATATGTATCATAAATCTTTTATATGAAAGAGGAATTTGATATTCAGGATATGTCCATAAGCTTTTAATGTTTAATCATTAAGTTTATATATTTTCAAAGTACTTCCCAAAACTAACTGTGGTGGACTTTCATTGGAAATTATTCTCAATATCAGTCTTTAATTCAATAAAAACTCTAGTTCTAGTCTGAATTAATTGTCTCAGTGTTTGAACCATTATTTTCTAGTAAAGGCTAATTACTCTTCACTTTGTTAGTGAATTCTAGGGCCTAGTGCTCAGGCACGCAAACCAGAAACCTTGTTGTTTGCACCTTGAGAATGGATCCATTGCTCTCCAGTATAATCAGATTAACCCAAACTGAGAAAAAAAAAAAAAAAGAAAGAAAGTGAAAAGTGTAGTAATGGACAAGGAAAAACTATAACTCAGAGAAATGATATTCACATTTTTTTATCACAGGCAAATTCTCTTTTGTAGGAAATCTACCAGATAATCGGAAGGCTTTTTAGTGACCATGGAATTAGATTAAAGGAAGTTAGGAGTGTTATCTTTTTTTTTTAATATTTATTTTTTATTTATTTTTTTTAAGGTGAACACAATATCTTTATTTTATTTTTATGTGGTGCTGAGGATCAATGACTGTTATCATTTGTCTTTAGTATATGGAAATAGCTATTATAAAGACTGATTCCATCTTATTTGTGGCCCAGAACATCCTTTCCCCTAAATACTATTAGGAAGCTCAAATCTGCCTTTGTAATATTTCTTTCAAATGCTTCCCTAGCTAACTAAGTTCCTACTCTCACCCCTTTCTTTCTTGATAGACAATAGTTTTATTATATTACATAGTTGAGACTCAGCCTGGGAGCTTTTCTTTCTTAATGCTTTATATAATAGAACTCATATATTCTGTGTGTTGTATACTTTAACCTGAAAACACTCTTATTTTCCCAAAATCAAGTTTGGGGGAGAAGAAGGGGGCTGGGGTAGAGCACCTTGTTCTTTCTGTATACTTTCAACACATGAAGCTTCTGTTCTACAAATGGATACCAAAAAAATCTTTTTCAAAAATGAGGCCACATCTTCATGTACATTTCTTTATCAAATTATACATTTTTAATAGCATGATAGAAACTTATACCAGGAGTTGGCAAACATTGTCCATAAGAACCAGATGGTAAATATTTAATTTATAAATCATAATGTGCGTGTCATAGCTACTCCAGAGTTTTTATAGCATGAATGCAGTCATTAATAGTACACAAATAAATGGGTATGGCTGTGTTTGAATAAAACTTTTAGAATAGGCAGCTAGTTAGATTTGTCCTGAGGATGGCAGTTTACCAATTCCAGGCCTGTAGTATCTGCATTTAACTCTGCTTCCCTTCATATAATCTGCTTTTTGTGTACTGTCTTTATTGACCTATACAAATGTTTGGTTATCGATTTCAGTACTTCAGTAACATTTTCAATATAAAATTCTAGGAACAGTCTTAGTTTCTCAAAGGTATGTAACTGGTATATCAGTTAATGGGTGTTTGACTGCAATAGGAAACCTCATTAATGGTAGCTTAATCAATAGGGGTATTCATTTATCTCACAAAGAAATCTGGAAATAGGATTTTCAAAGGCTGGTGAAATGCCTCAAAGGCTTGGATACCATATGTTTCCCTATTCTTGGTATATTAGCTTTTTTTCCACCTGTTTATTACTTCATGACTAAAAAATGCATTCTCTTCCCCAGGAATCACATCCACAGTCATGTTTGAGGCAGGAAAAAGGAAGAAAGTTGGAACCAGCTCCATTGGGTTCTTTTTATCAGAAAAACTTCCCAAAATACCTATCCTTTTATCTCTTTGGTTGAAACTATATTACATGGCCTGTCCTAACTATAAAGAAAGCTAAGGAAATAGTTTCTCACTTTCTCAGCCTAATAAGAGATAGGCCTGGCCTATAACTAGCCTTTTTGTATATATGGAAGTTCACATTATTAGCCATGGAAGATCTTATGACCTTTTTTATTTTTTATTTTTTTCCTTTCAGAGTGGTTGGTGGTGGTGGCAGCATTTCCAAGGGGAAAATACGTTCTTTGAAAGCACGAGTAAGATATATATATGCTTGACATTCCATGTGTTTTTCAAAACAACTATTGTTTCTCTAATTTGACCATAAAGTTTTAGTTTGACTTCTTGAAATTTAAAAAAAAAAATTACTAAGCCATGTTAATATTAATAAAACTAAGCAGACATTTGTGTCCACCTGAAACAATAAAGGGCAATTTTCATACTTAAACACTAGATATAGCAATTTGTTTCATTGTTTCAGGGGAGATACATATCTAGATAAATGATAACAAAAAAAGCTTTTTTAACTCTTAAGAACATGTAAAGCAATAAATACAAGTTAACTTTTCATTTAAAGATAATGGAAAATTAATTTTGATCAGGATTATTACCAATTCAAAACATGGATCCATCCACATTAAAGTGAATAAATTCATAAGCATATAATTTCTCCTGAATAAAAATGTTTTGAGTCAAAAACCATATGTACAGTTTTAATCTCATTCCAGCATTTCTGTGATTGTTTCTGTACAAACTGTTTTCTGATTGCTGATTAGTAATCAACAATCTTGATTATAACCAGAAAGAATGGTAGTTTAAATGCTATGGAAGAATTTGAGGTGCTAAGGGTTCAGACCCGGTATAATGACAGAAATACTGGAGAGCTATAGTGGTATGGCATCTGGAAACCATCTCTTGTTCCTTTGATCTCTGATGTCCTTGAAAGCAAAACTTAAGGTAGAGATAATATGCTTGTAGACTGTTAGAATAATTGGCTTAAACTTGATGTTAATGGTGTAGAGAGAGCCAGCATCACAATCTAAACCTTAATAGAGACTTTGACATTTCCCGGATTACTCCCAATTTGACCTCTTTCCAACCACTATCAGTGAGCAAGGTGGGAGGTGGAAGAAGCACTATTAGGAAAGAATGTAATCAGCATGCTGAAACTTGAAACTTGTAACTCTACCATTTTCTACTTAGGAAGTTCTGGTATTATGTGGCTATGATCACTGAGGAGTTCAGACTTTGCAAGATAACTTGGTACTTGGGTGCCTCCATAGTGTCCAGTATCTCAGGTTAATAGACAAATACTCATAATTTCGTAAATCTTATTATTACAATTAGGAAAAGGCTGTAAGTCTATTACCATGTGGCTCTGAAAGGAAATATAAACATTCCAAGTCCTAGAACAGTTGTGACTCCAGACTTTGGATGCCTAATTGAGGAACCCAGAATACTCTCAGGATTTAATTAATTTCCAGAGGAAAAACAAATCAAGGACTTGATGTGACTAAGGAAAGATTGAAAGAGATATATAAAGATTTTAATGCCAAGTGACTAGAGCAATGATTCTACTAAGAGGGGCCTAAATGTCAGTTTGTATTCTGCTTATTGCTTCCCTTGCCAGATAG